TTTCGGCACACCCCTCACGAGGATCGTGGCCCCATAGGGAGCTCCACCGAAGGCCCCCAGTGGCTGCGTTCGCATGGCGGCCTCGGGCCATTTCGGCACACCCCTCACGAGGATCGTGGCCCCATAGGGAGCTCCACCGAAGGCCCCAGTGGCAGGGTTCGCATGCCTCCCCGCCGCCCATCCCGGCATACCCCTCGCACGCTTCGTGGCCCCATAGGGAGCTCCACCGAAGGCCCCAGTGGCAGGGTTCGCATGCCTCCCCACCACCCATCTCGGCATACCTATCACACGTTTCGTGGCCCCATAGGGAGCTCCACCGAAGGCCCCAGGGGCAGGGTTCGCATGCCTCCCCACCACCCATTCCGGCACACCCCTCACACGTTTCGTGGCCCCATAAGGAGCTCCACCGAAGGCCCCAGTGGCAGGGTTCGCATGCCTCCCCACCACCCATCTCGGCACACCCCTCACACGTTTCGTGGCCCCATAGGGAGCTCCACCGAAGGCCCCAGTGGCAGGGTTCGCATGCCTCCCCACCACCCATTTCGGCACACCCCTCACACGTTTCGTGGCCCCATAGGGATCTCCACCGAACGCCCCAGTGGCAGGGTTCGCATGCCTCCCCACCACCCATGTCGGCACTCCCCAACACCAATTTCGGCACGCCCCTCACACGTTTCGTGGCCCCATAGGGATCTCCACCGAAGGTCGGGGGGAGCTTGACACTGGTATCCTTGCGGTACTCGCAGGTGCGTATGGTTGGGTCCTTCGCCAGGCTAATTTGTAGTCGCTGAGCTGCGCCAACAGGCTCTAGCAGATATTCATCTGCGCCAATCCGCTCTAACGGGCGCCGAAGGGGTGCGAATGGGCGCCAGAAGGCGCTGATAGGCACCATTCCATTTGCTTGCATGCATGGAGGGGGGCATACAGGCACCCTGAGGGTTGGAGCTGTCTGCGGGTCTGAGGTGGCACAAAACCAGTTCTGGCCAGCAGGAATGGGGGGCAGGCCCGAGGTTCTGGGCTCGGAACACTTTTGTTCGTTTTTTTTGGTCTCCGGGGGCCGTTTGTGGGTCTCAGGACCGTGGAAAACACATCCAGAATGGAAACCTGCACCAGGTGGACCCTGGGAGGAGTCTGGGAACCGATTTCGGGCTGATTTAGCCTCACCCTCCGCCCTCTCCTGACATATTTTCTGGGGTCCAACAGGTTCAGGCCCCCCCGGTCGCCTTCAACCTGAGACCCATAGATGGTCCAGGGTCTGCCCCCCGCCCCTCATGCTGATGCCATCGCCCCCCCCCCCACCGCGCGATGCTTTCCCCCCCCTTGTGGGTGTGGTGTGGTGCTGTTCGTGTGGCGTGTGCGGCATGGTACTGTGGTGCTCCAGGAGAGCTCCAGAGGTCGTCGTCGTCGTCGTCGCCGCAGCCGCCGCTGTCGTCGTCGGAGGGCTCCGGAGGTCGGCGCCGCGACCGCCGCCGACGTCGTCGTCGCCGCCGTCGTCGCCGCCGTCGTCGCCGTCGTCGTCGCCGTTGTCGCCGTCGCCGTCGTCGCCGTCGTCGTCGTCGTTCGTCGCCGTCGTCGTCGCCGTCGTCGTCGCCGTCGTCGTTCGTCGCCGTCGTCGTCGTCGCCGTCGGCGTTGTTGTCGCGGCGGCCGTCGTCGTCTTCGTCGTTGTCGTCGTCGTCGTCGCCGTCGCCGTCGCCGTCGCCGTCGTCGTTCGTCGCCGTCGTCGTCGTCGCCGTCGGCGTTGTTGTCGCGGCGGCCGTCGTCGTCGCCGTCGTCGTCGCCGTCGTCGTCGCCGTCGTCGTTCGTCGCCGTCGTCGTCGTCGCCGTCGGCGTTGTTGTCGCGGCGGCCGTCGTCGTCGCGGCGGCCGTCGTCGTCTTCGTCGTTGTCGTCGTCGTCGTCGCCGTCGCCGTCGCCGTCGCCGTCGTCGTCGCCGCCGTCGTCCACCCCCAATCCGATCAGGGGGGTGGCCCGAGGGACCCTGAGACCCATCTCATCTGGGGGCGGGGGGGGGGCGTGGGCCCGGAGCCCGGGATCATACATCTGGGGTGTGGGGGGAGAAAAGCAGAAACCCTCAGACCTTGGACCATGCACAGTCAAAGCGCATAGTAAGGATGAACAATTTCCCAAGGTTACCATTGCATCCTTGCCCCTTCGGCCCATCCTTGGCGACTTTCGCTGGCCAGCCCCGCCCGAAAAACGTGGCCTTCCAAGGCCCCTGCAGCCTTACTGCGCATCTTTACTATACGTTTCGACTGCACGCCTCCTTCCCCCACTCCTGGGCCCAGGATGGTCCCGGCCAGGGTCGATGCGCGGAGGCTCTGCGCCGCGCCGTCGAGGCGGCGCTCGCAGGGCGGACGCTCACGGGTTGAACCTTGTCAGCTGCCTCGACCCGGCCAGTCCTGGACGATCCGCGCTGTCGGAGAGTCGATGTCGCTGAAGGCTGAGCGACCCACGCGGTGGACGTCTGAGAACAGCAGAATGAGCTGTAACTATCGGAGGTCCGCGCGGACTTTTTGGATCGGCGTGCGGGCCAGGGAGAGGGGCCCAACGCGGGCCTGAGACACGTTCATGCTCATGCAGTTTTCTCGCTCGTGGGATACTTCAGTCCGCGGGGTCCCCCGACAGTTTATCGAAGGGCCTTCGGCCCATCCCGCCACCTTGCCTGGGTAGTGTGTATGAAGCTCATTGGTTGGTTGTTCGTTGGGATCTCCCCCCCCCAGGGGCGACGCGCACGCCGAGAAATCTTAAAGTATATGCTGCGTGGCGAGCGCTCTCCCGCCATACCGCTCAGGAAACGATATATATATATATATATATATATATATATATACCACAATGTGGTTATACAAGAGGCCCAGCTCGGACGCGCGCCTCCTCCACGGCCAGTGTGCCCGTGTGCGTCCCATGCCGTTTGTTGTTCCCCTGGGATGCCTGACGCCCGCCACAGGATGCTCCGGGCGCTGGTGGAGGAGCTGGGCGCGCTGCGGGGCGAGCGCGACCGCCTCGCGGAGATCCCGGCGCCAGGCGCCCGGGTGCGCCCCACGTTCCCCGCGGACGAGCAGCAGCTCGAGGAAACCGGGCTTCCGAAATATCTGTGCATCACCACCCACCAAACCACCCCAACCCAACCCGAAGGCCTCAATTTGCTCTCCATTTCCAGTGGGGGGGGTCGGGGGACATTGAAAAAACACATGGAACCCGTACCCCCCCCAACCCGAAATTCGGGTCAAATTCGGGTCTTCGGGTTGGGAGGCCATCACAATATGTACAGACTTATAGTTTGTACATATTGTGATGGACTCCGGGTGCCGCCGACCGGGGGGTTCTGGATTCGGTGATCTTGGAGTCGTCGGGGGCGCTGTTTGGGAGGGAGGGCGCTCTTGGAGTCGTCAGAGACGCTTTTTGGAGCTGACGTGCCATCTGGGGGGGTGTCTGGAGCGGTCCCGGCGGAGGGTTCGGAGGGGAAAGTGCTGGGGGCCGTAGCGGCTAGATCTGAGGGGGTCCCTGGGACCCCCCGATGCATCTTGGGGGTGTGCAAATCGAGCCAACGACTTTATGCACCGCCGCCCTCCCTGCAGCTTGAAGGTACATGCAAAGTTCGTCGGAGGGCGTCTGTGTATATATCGTGAGGGCCTTACGGCCGGCGCTGCCCGGAAGGACGACGACGACGAGCACGACGACAAGTTGATGACCTTACCACAGTCTTGGGACATGGGGCGGGCGGTGGGAGGAGGATGAGGAGGAGGAGGCGGAGGAGAAGGAGGTGGAGGAGGTGGAGGTGGAGGAGGAGGAGGAGGAGGAGCGACGCGAAGCGAAACGAAGCGAAGAGAAGCGAACGCCGGAGTCGTGCGCGCTCCACCGGGGAGCCCGCCCGTGCTCATTAGGGCATGGCGTGGAGGCCGTGTCCTCAAGAATGTGATACGTAGGCGGGCTCACGTGATAACCACCACTCTGTGTGCCTGGCCGCCGATAGCCAAGGCAAGTAAGTCGTTTTTATGTTTGTGTTGATGTTGTCGCGGAGGAGGAGGAGGAGGCGGAGGAGGGAGAGGGGGAGGGGGAGGAGGGCAAGTTAGGTGCGCTCGCGTCAACATCTGACATCCTACCCCTCCCTCCCATCCCTTACCATGGCGCTGATTTTCTCTATCCGCGGAGGCGTGTCGTAGCGGACCTGTGGCTCCGCGCGCGTGTGCGTAGTGGGTGGTGGTGCGCGTGCGTGCGTGCGTGTGTGCGTGGTTGTGGTTGTTGTGGTGGTGGTGGTGTGTATGTGTGTGTGTGTGTGTGTGCGTGTGTGCGCGTGTGCTGTGGTGTGACGTTGTGTGGCGTCTTGGTGGTTTGGAGGTGGGCCAGGTGCGTACGTGCGTGATGGCGGCGGTGGTGGTGGCGGTGGTGGTGTGTGTGTGTGTGTGTGTCTGTGTTTGTGTGTGTCTGTGTGTGTGTGCGTGTGTGTGTGTGTGTGCGTGTGTATGTGTGTGTGTGCGTGCGTGCGTGCGTGTGTGTCTGTGTGTGCGCGCGTGTGATGTGGTGTGACGCGGTGTAGCGTGGTGGTGGTGGGTGGGGTAGTGCAGTGGTGGTGGCGGTGCGCGGTGGTGGTGCGCGTGCGTGCGTGCGTGCGTTGGTGGGTGGAAGTGGCGGTGGGTGTGCGTGCTTCGGGGCGGGGCGTGGTGCGGCGCGGTGGTGGCGGGCGGATGGGCGCGCGAGAAAGAGGCCCGCGCTGGGGCGAGAACGCCATCCTGAACGACGGAGGCAAAACACCGATCCGAAAATGAGGCCCACGCTGCAGCGGGAGCACAATTCGGAACAATTCGGGAGCAGAAATGAGGCCAGCGCCTCAGCGAGAGCAGATTTTTGAAAAAAAAACGCAGGCGAAAACACAACTCCCAGGAATCCTGTGTGTAAAAAACAGTACGCGGGGGGGGGGCGTCGAATATTCCCAGGACGCCATCAGGGGAAGAGGGAGCGTAGTATTCATATTGAGTAATTGTGGAGGAGGAGGGGGAGGGGGAAGGGGAGGGGGAGGGGGAGGGGGAGGGACAAGCTGAGTGCGCTCGCGTCACATCTTCCTTCCCATCTCTTACCATGGCGTAGATCCCCTCTCTACTCGCGCAGTCGGATGTCGAGCAGGGCAATGATCCCGAAAGGGTACGCGATGCAATGTAAAGCACGGCGTGGCATGGCGTAGAACAGCACCGCAAAGCGTAGTATCAACCTAGCATAGCATTGCATTGCATGCCGTGGCATGGCACAGGAAATGACGCCAGCACTGCAGCGGGAACACGAGTCGGAACGAGCGGAAACGCGGACATGAGGCCAGCGCTGCAGCGGGAACACGATTTGGAACGGGCGGAAGCACGGAAATGAGGGTAGCGCTGCAGCGGGAGCACGATTCGGAACGAGCGGGGCCCGAAAATGAGGCCGGCGCCACAGCGAGAGCAGCATTTTGGAAACAATGCAGGCGAAAACCCAGCTCCGGGGAATCCTGCGTGTTAAAAACAGTACGCGGGGGGAGGCTAACACTTTCAAGCCGTCATCAGGGGAAGAGGGAGAGTAGTATTCATATTGAGTAATTGTGGAGGAAGAGGAACAGGAGGAGGAACAGGAGAGGGAACAGGAGGAGCAACAGGAGCAGGAACAAGAGCAGGAGCAGGAGGAGGAACAGGAGAAGGAACAGGAGGAGTAACAGGAGGAGGAGGAGGAGGAGCAGGAGGAAGAACTTGAGAAGGAACAGGAGGAGGAACAAAAGACGGAACAGGAGGGGGAACAGGAGGAGGAACAGGAGGAGGAACAGGAGGAGTAACAGGAGGAGGAGGAGGAGAAGGAGGAGGAGGACGAGGAGGAGGAGGAGCAGGATAAGGAAGATAAGGAGGAGGAGGATTAGGAGGAGGAGGAGGAGGAGGAGGAGGAGGAGGATAAGGAGGAGGAGGAGGAGGAGGAGGAGGAGGAGGAGGAGGAGGAGCAGGATAAGGAGAAGAGGAGGAGGATTGAGGAGGAGGAGGAGGATAAGGAGGAGGAGGAGGATAGAGGAGGAACAGGAGAGTAACAGGAGGAGGAGGAGGAGAGGAGAGGAGGACGAGGAGGAGGAGGAGGATGAGGAGGAGGAGGATTAGGAGGAGGAGGAGGAGGAGGAGGAGGAGGATAAGGAGGAAGGACGAGGAGGAGGAGGAGGAGGAGCAGGATAAGGAAGATAAGGAGGAGGAGATAGGGAGGAGGAGGAGGAGGAGGAGGATAAGGAGGAGGAGGAGGAGGAGGAGGAGGAGGAGGAGGAGGAGGAGGAGGAGAGCCGTCTGTTTCATCGGGGGCGGGCGCGTGGGAGTCAAAAGCCCAGGGGGGAAACCCCCAGCGGCGGAGGGGTCACAACCCCTACGTAGGACCCCCCCGGGATATACATGCGTGGCGTAGACAAGGGCCGCCCTTCGCCATGAAGGAAACGGGTCCTGAGGAAAACGGGTCCTGATGTTTTCCGCCGTTTTTGGTTTTCTGGGGCCACTGAGTGGCCCAAGGATTGTCAACCAATGGTTCATGACGCAGAGCCTCTCCTGGAGTAAGGCTCAGGGGTCGAGGACCCGTTTCGCCCAGGACCCGTTTCGCACCGGGGCTTCGGGTTGCGCGCAGACTGCCCCCTAGCCCCGGCTGGCCTCAACAGGCTCCCTGAGTAGTCCCCGCTGGCCTTAAAGCCCCCCCCCGCGTGATAGGGTGGTCTCAACACCCCAACCTTGGCGCGCGGAGCGCCCCAGGGGCGCCTCGGGAGGCGGCGGCAGGGTGTTGAGACCGCCCCTGACTACTCGGGGGCCGGTTGGGGCCAGCGGGGACTCTTCGGAGGGCCTCTTGAGGCCAGCCGGGGCTGCCTTGAGGGGGGGGCTTTACGCGCGTAGCCCCATGCCTTCATGTCAAAAACCTGTTACACAAATGATGACCCCGCCCTCCCCCCCCGGATCCCGACTGCCATGAATTCGCCGCCGGATATCCCCGGTGGAAAATATCTCACAGAGACCGAGCGTTGTGACCCAGAGGGTGCGCAGGGGGTGCGCAGAGGGTGTTCCCTGAGCGCAGTCTTTCTCCATGCCAAGTTGGCAGGGCGTGGCAGGCGTGGCCTGACGCCAAGAGGGGGTGCGCAGAATTCGGCCCCTGCACGCGGAGCGCCAAGGCGGTCGCGGGGATGCCGCCGGCGGTCTTCTTTTCGTATTTTATATGCGCATTTCAGCGCTGGGAATAACTATATTTTAACTGTCCCCCCAGAGAGATCTGTTTAGCCGCTTTTAGATATTATCACGCCCTGCCCCCAGATTTCCGGCGATCTAGTTTTGTTCAATCTAGGCGCGTTTCTACGATTGTGGTTTTTGTGGATTGTTCTGGTGATTTTTGCTAAATTATCCTTGGGGAGGGGATCGTCGCGTGTAGGTTGGACGAAATGCCCGCTGCTGTCTGAATTAGCCCTCCTCTGACTGATCGTCCCCGATCGGGGCGGTCGAAAGGGGGATACGTAAAGAGACAGGTGGTCGCGAAATGTTCCCGCGTGCAGCTGGTTTTTGTTGCCCCGCCCCCCCGTTTCATTCTGTTGTGCATCCGCGCCCCTGGACGTTTGGAGGCGCCGGGGAAGCCGCCCGTGTGGCCCCTGTACTAGTTCACCCCCCTCTCGTTCGATCAGAACCAAGGGTTAAATCTGGCCTATCCCCCTACAGGAGGAATGTTCAAACATAGTCAAGGATAGTACGGGGGGCGATGTTGTAACTGTTTCTGGCTATTCTTGAATCTGTTTTGACTATCTTTGTTTTCCCACAAAACCCGCCGGTAGGAGGACGTCCCCGACTTTTTCTCGTTCGACCAAACCCACGGGTGTCCGGGGTCCTGCCTGCGAGGCCTGGCGGTGCGCTCCTGGGGTGGAGGGCGGCGCGAGAGGGGGGCCTCCCCTCAGGAGGCGCGGGGCCCTCCTCCAGGAGGGCAGGGGGCCTGCCCGGAGGGGCCAGGGGCCTTCCAACGCATTGAAAAAGTCAATCAAGCAGTGGCGAAGCGTCCCCGCTCGCTTACAGTCCCACCAAACAATGTTCTGAGAGCCTTTAGTGGTTTCCACGACATGTTCTTAGAACAGTTCTGGCGGAGCCTGTCTTGTTTTATCACATCGGGTTTCTGTTCTAAGAACATTGTTTTTGTTGTTCTAACATTTTTGGGTTCTAAGAACATTTCGTGGTAGGACTATAGGAATGCCAGGACGGTCGGTCCCAGGTCAAGTCAAGGCGGAGGTTTTTCGCTGCCTTGAGCGTCTGGAGGCCCTCGCCGGGCCCCGGGACGGTAGAACGACGACTCGGGATGAAAAGCCGGCTCTGGGGAAAGGGTCGGGAACAAAATCACGACGTCGGATCTCTGGGGGACCAGCGGTCCGAGGGGGGCTGGCGCGGGTCCTCCTCCGCGGCAGCGCGTTGGGGCCGGAGAAGTGTCCAGTGTGGTGTGGGACATATTTCAGGAGGGGAAGAAACACACAGACACAATTAATCCTCGATTCCCCAGAAAATATGGGAAAATATGGGCAGTGGGGGGGAAGACAAAAACCCAGAAAATATGGGAAAATATGGGGACTATTTTTATTTGTGTGTATTTATTTGTGTGTCCTAATTTCCCTTTAATATTTGTCGGGGGTGGGCAGAACCCCCATCAGTGACACGTCGATGAGTGAATTGTCCGTGTTCGGTTCTCGAGAGGGCGCCGTGGCCGTTATTTTCCAGGCTTGCGCCCGCCAGGTTTGGGCCTCAGGTCGTTTTCACTAAACCACGTTTTACGAAAGGGGGTCTGTCCATCCCCGAATTTGCTGAGGGTGGCACTCTCCGGCAGAGGCTCCCAGCAGGGCGCGGGACTGCCTAATTAGGAAGGGCAGGGGCCTTCTTGGAAGGGCAGGGGCCTCGGGCCTGCCGAGGAGGCGTTTTTGGGGACCTTGCCAGGGCGAGGAGCTGGGCCTCCCGGATGGGGTTCGAGTAGATGGGATGATCGCTCCGCATCGCCGATGCATCGACGATGCGGCTCGATGTAGATCCAGAGTTTCTGCTCCGATGGCGCCGGTGCATCGGCGACGCATCGGCGGTGCGGCGCGATCCTCCGGCCACCAATCCGTTCCAGAGCTGTTCTGGAACGCTCTCGGAGCGTTCTAGAACGCTCGCCTCGGCGCCCGAAGTATTCTCTAGAGCCGCCGGATCTCAGAGGTTTTCGATTTGGCCTGACCCAAGGTTACGTTCGTCCTGGCATCGCCTCATGCTTAGGCAGCAGGGGTGCTGAGGGACCATATTCCTTCTTCGAAGGCTGCCCCCCTCGAGCCATCCCCCTTGACTCCGTGCGCGCACCGCCGCCGAGCCGCGTCGTAGTGGGGTGCGCTCGGCCAGTTCAATTCGGTCAGATGTCGTGTCGTTGCGGCCACTCGCAGATGGGGTAAGGGGGAGAGATGAAAGGCTTCTTAGAAGCACCCCTGCTTGTTAGTAGGCGCAGCCTTCTCTGTACATGTATGGCCAGCGCCTTCTAAGAATCGGCTCCCTTCTGAGAAGCCTTCCCCCCTCCCCCTATCCCCTTCTGCGCGCCGCCAACCGTTGCTGCGTCGCTGCGCCTTTCTGTGCTGCTGCTGCTTGCTTGCAGCCCGTTTCGGATTCACTGTCGGTTCGACCAGTGTTCTGTTGTACTGTCGCCGTATACAGCCTTGAATACGGGGCTCCTGGGATCATGAGGCGCCAAAATAATTATCCATATTGTGGAGACCCACGCCAAGAAACACCCTGCTTGCCCCCAGGATGCCCTGGGTTTGGGGGTTTTGACGTTCCCGCCAAAAATCAGTGGATGTCCTGGGGTCTCAGGGTTGGGTGTCTTGTGGAAGATCTCTTGTGGTCGAGCCCCTGCTGTACCCACGACCTCGCGGTCTGGGCTCCTCAGCCGCGACCGCGAGGGCACAGGACGGTTTTGCGTGTGTGGGGTACACCTTAGGCGATGCTTAAGAAAACCCAAGTTTTCGGCCAGAGTCTAGATTATTCTTAATGTTTCCATGTGAATCCAAAGATTTGAACAGACATTTTGGGTTTTTATTCAAATTCTGAGACTATGAATTTCTTAACCCATGATTTCTAAAGCATTTCGCAGGGTGTGCCCTGCCAGAGCGTGTCCGTGGGATCGCGCGCACCCGTGGGGTCGCGCCTCGGTGCAGCGAGTGCGCCGAAGTCAGGACCACTTGTCGGGGGTGGACAGAACCCCCAATAGTGACACGTCGATTAGTGAATTGTCCGTTTTCGGTTTTCGAGAGGGCGCCGTGGCCGTTATTTTCCAGGCTTGCGCCCGCCAGGTTTGGGCCTCAGGTCGTTTTCACTAAACCACGTTTTGCTAAAGGGGGTTCTGTCCATCCCCGAGGATGGGCTCCGGGTGCTCGGGTCGCTCCTGAGGTCCAGGCTTGCTTGAGTCGGGCGTGTCCCTCTACGGGAGGAATGTGCAGACATAGTACACCTTAGGCGATGCTCAAGAAAACCGAAGTTTTCGGCCAGAGCCTCGATGATTCTCAACTTTTCAATACTAATCCCAAGATTTTGATAGAAGTTCTGGGTTTTGTTCCATTGCTGAGACTATGAATTTCTTAACCCATGATTTCTTAAGCATTTCGCAAGGTGTAGCAACACTGTATGGGGACTATGTTCCGTGCTCGTTTGACTGTAGTTGAGCAGTGCTTTCACTATGTCGTATTGCTCTTCTGGACTCCGCCTGCAGGAGGACATGCCCGACCTGAATTTAAGTCGGGCCTGTCCCCCAAGAGGGGGATTTTCGACGACAAATAAAGAATACCCCAACATAGTCAAAACATAGTCCAAAAATATGATGGGGACTTTTTTTCGAATATTGTTTGACCTTTTGGGGGTATTTTGGGGGTCATTTATGTTTTTCGTGGAAAATCCCTCTGTAGGGGGACACGCCCGACATAAACCTAAATCTAGGTCGCAGAACATTTCGTGGCCGAGGCTCGCCGTGGCCAGAAAGGCCATGTCGTTCCTTCGTTTCCCCTGTCATGGGCGCTAGACCGCGAGAGCATGGATATCTTTGAGTTCCTGATGGAAGTCCCGACCGCCTCCCCCGGGCTTAGCTCTGCGCCGTGAATCGCATTTCTCCCCGCACCGTGGCCCGAAATGGGCCTCCGCAGGAGGCGGCGCCAGAGGCACCGCCAGGGGGTCCAGCGAAACTCCAAGAAATCCGCGCGTAGCCCGACGTTTTTGGCTTATGCCGTTTACTGCACTTCGCGCGGATCAATGAATCAGCCACCTGCTGGTCGGAAGGTGTGTAAGGTGGCGAGAGACAGGGATTGGAGGATCACCCTGAGATCCGACGGCGCGAAAAACATGATAAATCTTAATTAAATCAAGACTGGAGCCCTAGACCCCGTCTTTCTGTTGCATTTTTGGAGTGGAATCGATCTGTGAGGGTCCCTGGGCCCGAAACCAAGCGAAAACGCCCAGCTCGAACAAGTTGAGAGGCCAGGATCTCGGGGTGTCCTGATCCGAATTTGCCCTCATCCCGCGTTTGCCTTGCAGGACGAGGAGCTCACGCCGCGGCGCCGCCAGGCGGAGCGGCGGTGCGACTTCCTGGGCCTGCAGGTGCAGGCCCTGCTGAGGCACACCCAGCAGGCGGCGGGACAGACCAACACCGCCGTGGTGAGGCAGGAAGTCGTTCGGCCTCAACCCCCGGTCACTCCCGCGCCGAGGCAGAGAGCGGCGGAAGCCCCGAAAAGCGTCCGAAGTCTGGGCCGATTTCCGTCGGCTGCGCCTCGCCGAGGGCGGTCCAGGGGTTCCGGGGTCGACCCGAACGGCCACCAGAGGCCCGAGTGTTTCGGGGGTGGACAGAACCCCCAACAGTGACACGTCGATTAGTGAATTGTCCGTTTTCGGCTTTCGAGAGGGCGCCGTGGCCGTTATTTTCCAGGCTTGCGCCCGCCGGGTTTGGGCCCGAGGTCGTTTTCACTAAACCACGTTTTGCTAAAGGGGGTTCTGTCCATCCCCGACTCGAGCGCCAGACTTGCTCGTGTCGCGAGAGAAAATGCGACGGAAGACCCGTGCGCCGGGCCCTCGGCGCGGCGCCCCCCCCGGTGCCGGGCCTCCGGGCGGCCCCCGCACGCCGCGGCGCCGCGGAGCAGCGCGCCCGTGTGCAGCGGTCGTCGTCTGAATGCCTCGTTTCGTGCCGCGCGGCGCGGGGCCGCTCGCCGCGTCCGCCGCCCCTCCTCCTCCTCCTCCTCCTCCTCCTCCTCCTCCTCCTCCTCCTCCTCCTCCTCCTCCTCCTCCTCCTAGCTCCTCCGTCCCCACCCCCTTCTTCCTCCTCGCTCTCCCCCTCGTCGCCTCCCCCCTCCTTCGCTGTCCTCCCCCCCCCCGCCCCCCCCCCCTCATGGAGAGTACAGTCGGCCCAGATTAGCAGGTCGACCCTGCCAGCTCAAGGGTATTCCAGATTTCGTAAGAAAGGGAGGGGGTTCTCATTTCGGGGGGGGGGTCTCTTCCAGGCTATCTTGGAGGGCCTGGGGGGTCTGGGGACGATGTTTTGGAGGGTTCTCCCACGGGGGAGGTCTGAAATGGCTTGTCTTGGAGGGTCCAGACCCCCTCCCTTTTATTACGAAATCTGGAGTACCCTTGCGTCCTGTGCCTCGCGACACGTGCCTGTTGACACTCCCATGGCGATGTGGCCCTCGGAAGGGTCTTGTGTCCTCTCGCGTGTCCTGTCCAATCAAGGCCGACTGTAGGTGCCGGCTGTTTGGGGCGCCTGGCTCGCTCCCCCTGTCCCCCTCTTTCGGCGCCCCCTCTGCCTCTCCCCCCCCCGTATGGTGGCACAACTCGCTTCAGCGGTATCCCCGTTAGCGCAGGCGACCCCTGCCTCGCCGCCGACGTAAACAGTTGTTGGCACCGGTTTCCAGCGGGTGGAGCCTCCCCCATAGGACGCAGGGTTGCAAACAGTCGCATGGAGCAGAGCTCCTGGGGCGCCCCCCTCGCCCCCCTTTCGGCCCAATGTCGAAGCGCCGAATCAGATAGCGCTCGCGTAGCTGACCAGAATGAGGCCTGGCTCCGAGGGGAGGCCAGGCGCGCCGCTGGTCATCCGCGGCGAACGCCGTGGCAGGGCGCCCGCCGCCTCTCTTTCGGCCCCACCGAGGCGCGCCCACTGTCTTTTACAAGGGCTCCCTCGAGGGCGCGAAGTTATTCGCGCTTCGCGGTCCTCGTTCCTTCTCCCCCTCCTCCTCGTCCTCCTATTCTCCCTTTGGGGGGGCGGCGCGAGAGCGCGAAGTTATTCGCGCTTCGCGCAGCGCGAAGCGCGAAGTTGGGAGCCCTAGCTTTTAGGTGACCTATGCGTCGCCGATTGCGGTGGCCGGGCCCGGGTGCCCGGGGGTGCCCGGGTGCCCGGGGGTACCCGGGTGCCCTGTAGCCTTATAGCTTGTAGCACTATAGTCCTACAGCCCTATAGCTTCACAGCCCTGCAGCCCGAATAGCCCTCTAGCCCTATGGCCCTAATAGCTCTATAGCCTTTTAGTCTTATAGCCCTACAGCCCTACAGCCCTATAGCCTTATAGCCCTATTGTCTTATAGTCATGAAAAAACGTATAGCCCTATAGCCTTATAGCTCTATAGCCCCATAGCCCTACAGCCCTATAATCCTGTAGCCCTATCGTCCTATAGCCCCATAGCCTTACAGTCCTATAGCCCCATAGCCTTATAGCCTCAAACAAACATGATTGGGGTTTCTCTCTGGCATCGCTACATGCTTCACAGGGGTTAGCAGAGGCAGCATGTAGCAGTCAGAGCACAGACGTTTGTCGCATGCCACCGTGCCACACGCACACACACCCTCCCTCCCCTTTCTTCCCCCTGCTCCTCCACTGCTGTGCCCACAAGCTTGACCTCTCGCCTGCGAGCAGAGTTCGCCAGGCCTTTGGAGGGAGAGATCGGAGCTGATTCGGAAAGCTCCGAGTGCGGTGGCACTTCTCCATTGATGCCGATGTCAAAACGGCCCCACTCCTCCACTGCACTGGATTGGACGCCCGAGTTATCCGGGGTAACTCGGGTCCGGGGTAACTCGGGTTTGGGTTCCCGAAAAACGAACCCGAGTTAACCCTGACCCGAGTTACCCCTGATGATTCGGGGCTCTGGACGCCCGAAATATCCGGGGTAACTCGGGTCCGGGATAACTCGGGTTCGGACTCCCGAAAAACGAACCCGAGTTAACCCTGACCCGAGTTACCCCGGATATTTCGGGACTCTGACTGGAGTCGTGGGTCAGACCAGGCAGATCTCGGGACAGAGCGGGTGCGGTGCTCACGAAGTGCCCCGCGCTGTGCAGCAAGCAGCCAGATAGCCCAGACCCCCGACGCCATGATTTCTCCATACACTCTAGGCGATGCTCAAGAAAACCCAGATTTTCGGCCAGAGCCTCGATTTTTCTTGATGTTTCAATGCAAATCCTAAGATTTGAATCGACATTCTGGGTTTTTATTCAAGTTCCTAGACTATGAATTTCTTAACCCATGATTTCTTAACCATTTCGCGTGGTGTACCGCCGACCACCAGAGGTCTCGACCCGCTCCCTGGGACGGGCTTCTCACCCCGAGCCGACGTCTGGCGGCCCCGAGATCCGGCAGCGTCCCCCCCACATCGGGCGCTGCTGGAGGGGCCCCTGGCTCGAGGCGCCCCCCAGGATTGCTCGGGGCGGGCGAAAGGGGGGGATTGGGAAAGGGGGGGTTACGAAATCTGCTGCATGCAGCTGGTTTCGGCCCCACCGAGGGGCCCATTCCTCGATACATGGGCGCCTCCGGCGCCGGGAGGCGCCGGGAAAATCAGCTACGTGAGCTGATTCTCAAACCCCCCCTTTGCTATCCCCCCTTTCGCCCGACCCGAATTGCCCACGGGGCCCCCACGGCCTGCAGAGAACCTTCGCGAGGCTCAGAGAGCACCAGGGCCTCCCGAATGGAGAGCGAAAAGCCGGGGGCGCCTCGGGCCACGGGCGCCCTCAGATCACCCCCCCCCCCAGAGGCAGGAGGTGGCGACAAACCTTCCGTCGTTTGTTTGGTTAAGACAGTGGTAGAAAGGCAGCCGGGACGAGGGTTCAGAACAACCCTAGCTTTGGAGGGGCACCATTGATGTTATTCGTGCTTGCCCCCCCCCCCCCCCCACACACACCTTGGAATGGCCCTTATTCGGCGCTCTCGGCACAGGGGGCTCGTGTTCTTGGCGCGCGTGTTTGTGTCCACGTTTCGGTCGTATCGCGAGGGGGCATGGGCTTCAGATTTAAAATCGGGCATGTCCCTCTACAGGGATGCCCGACCCCAGCTTCGGGGCGCAGACGGGGGGCGCGGCTGGGGTTGCAGCTCCGAGCCCCGTCAGTGGGCGCGGCCCAGGGTCGGGGGAGCGTAAGACCCGGGTTTGCCAGGACTCGGGTTCGCCATCGTTTTTTGACGACCGCGCCTCGGATTTTGACGAGGAGGAGTTTCGTGGGATGTCTGCAGCGGGAGGCCTCGTCAAAATGCAGGCTCGGCCTCGTCATTTTTTTGACGATCTCGTCGGGGATTTCCGAGTCCCCCGTACCCGGGTCTTACGTCTCCCCGATACAGGGATGCCCGACCCAAGCTTCGGGGCGCAGACGGGGGGCGCGGCTGGGGTCGCAGCTCCGAGCCCCGTCGGTGGGCGCGGCCCGGGGGCGCAACCGTCGCCCCCCTGCGTTGCCGCGGGAGGCGCGGAGGCAGCGGCCGCCCGCGCGGTGCCGCCGCGGCCCGTGCTGCCGCTGCCTGCCAGGGAGAGGGGTTCCCAGACGCCCTCTCGCGTCGTGCAGAGGAGTCACGACGGGAGGTTTTTCGCAACGGCCTCCCTCAGAGCCCCGAATCATCAGGGGTAACTCGGGTCAGGGCTAACTCGGGTTCGTTTCTTGGGGATCCAAACCCGAGTTACCCCGGACCCGAGTTACCCCGGATATTTCGGGCGTCCAGAGCCCCGAATCATCCGGGGTAACTCGGGTCAGGGCTAACTCGGGTTCGTTTCTTGGGGATCCAAACCCGAGTTACCCCGGACCCGAGTTATCCCGGATATTTCGGGCGTCCAGAGCCCCGAATCATCAGGGATAACTCGGGTCAGGGATAACTCGGGTTCGTTTTTCGGGAACCCAAACCCGAGTTACCCCGGACCCGAGTTACCCCGGATATTTCGGGCGTCCAGAGCCCCGAATCATCAGGGGTAACTCGGGTCAGGGATAACTCGGGTTCGTTTTTCGGGAACCCAAACCCGAGTTACCCCGGACCCGAGTTACCCCGGATAACTCGGGCGTCCAATGTAGATGAGTCACGACGGTTTTTTTTTCGCAACGGCCTCCCTGGGGGCCCTGACAGGGTCTCGGTGCCCTCGGAAGACGATTCAGAATGAGCAGGCGGTCTGAGGGAATGCGGTGAGACCTCTGGGGGCTGACGTTCTGAGAGGAGGTCGTGGGCCAGGGTCTGGGAAGGTGTCCTGCAGGCGAGTTCTTTTCCACAGGGTGTCGGCTTCCCCGGCCCTCCCCCGAGGCCCACGGTCGTCACCAAAAACGGTTCGGTATGTGACAACGTCGATGCGTCGTGCACGCAGATCGGGATGCCCGAGCAATCGATGCCACTGATCGCAGCGGCGCTAAGACATTGGATCATCAGGGAGCCCAAGCCCTGAGGCGGTGAATTTTCGTTTCGTGTCGTTGGTCCTTCAACAGGGGGGGCGCTTCGGGGTGTAGGACCCGTTCCCCTCAGGCCCTCCATTTCTTTTTTGCCAGCGATTGCAGGTGGAGCAGCTGCTGGACGGCTTGCGAGACGACCGGCTGGCCCCGGGTGCGGCGCCAGAGGCGCAGCGGCGCTTCTCCGTGGTCGACATGCACAAGCGGGTGACCGCTGAGGGGAAGGGCACTCAGGGACTCAGGGGCGCCGCGATTTCATTATCGGTCTGATTTTCGATGCCACTGAATCGACTTGACTATCGGTCTCACGATCGATCTTACTATCGTCCCCACGATCCATCCCACCATCGATCTCAGTATACATGTCACAAGTGATCTCAATAGCCATACCACTATCGAACTCAACGATTCCAGCATCGGTCTCACAATCGATTTCGCTATTGCTCTCACTATCGATATCACGATCCAACCACAGGACACCACGGGCTGATTTCGGTACATCAGCGGGTAAAACGTGGATTCGACGTGGATTTGACGCGGATTCGACGTTGATTGCGGCGTGATGGGACAGACGAGGACACCCGAAGGTGCAGTTTAATTTGCGGCAGGTTCGCGCCTCGTCAATGCCGCGGCGACGTCAGCGGGGGCCTTGAAGGTCGAAGCACACTCAATGTCAGGGAGTTGTTTCGGAAGCTCGTTTGCACTTCTTTGCACGCTCGTAGAGGCCATTCAAGTTCGTTGAAGGCCACTAGAGGACACTACAGGCCCCTAGATGCCGCTGAAAGGCAACTACAGGCATCTACAGGTCGCTAGCAATACACTGCATGCCGCTAGAGGCCACTAGAGGCTACTAAACCGATATAATGAGTTTCCAACAACAACTAACCTGGTATATCCCAGCTGTTTCGGATGGCGGAGATCGGCAAATATTGGACGATGTCCACTCCGTCGCCATGGCAAGGAGTGGCCGCAGGCGGCGGCAGGACCGCCGTTTTTGGGGAGGGGGCGGGCGTCGAGGCGACCGTGGAGTTCCACGAGCTGGACACCAGTCTGCACACCATCGAGGTGGGCGACGCAACGAAAACCGGGACCGATGCCCTCCTCCCTACCGGGCGGGTGGTAAAAGGGGTCAGAGAAAAGGGCTCTCAAGGAGCCATTGGGCCCCCCTTTCGGGCCCGTGCTGGCTCCAAAAGGGGCCCCACAGGGTCCCCTTCGGGGTCCTTTCCTTCACCCCCAATCTCGGTCACCCCCCATTAACCTCGTCACTGCTCTCCCTGCTCACTGCCTCTGAGGAGGGGAAGAGGAGGAGGAGGAGGAGGAGGAGGAGGGAGGAGGAGGAGGAGGAGGAGGAGGAGGAGGAGGAGGAGGAGGAGGAGGAGGAGGGAGGAGGAGGAGGAGGAGGGGGAGGGGAGGGGGAGGGAGGGGAGGGAGGAGGGAGGGAGGGGGAGGAGGGGGGAGGAGGGAGGGGAGGGAGGGGGGGAGGAGGGGGGGGTACCAAAACAAAAAGACCTTTAGAGGTTAGCTGGTTCGCATTGGCCTCCGGGGGCCCGGCAGCGGGCCCCCGGAGGCCAAAGTCCGCGAGAAGCTTCCGCCCTCAGACTCGTTCCGGACGCCGCGTGTCTCGGTGCTCTCCCCCTCTCAGAGCGTGAATTACCTACCCCGCTTTCGCTTCCAGGCAAAACCAAGCCATACCACGCGCCTCCTCGTCAAGCGGCCTGCCCAGTACAGGCTGCAATTTGGCATCGTTTGGTATCTCTTGGAAGCGAGGGTGGTCAAAAGCGAGGTAGGTTTGTTTTCCCCCTACCCTCGGCGTGCCGCCGGGCTGCCTCCTCCGCGGGGGAGGGACAGCAAGCGACCACGGCGGCATCGAGCGCACACCCCGGGGGGGCGTCCTGCGCACGCCGGCGGCCGTCAGAGCGCCGAAGCCAACGCAGGACTGGTCGCGGTCGACGCGGGCGTCCCGGGACGGCCAAATCGACCACGGCCGCAGGCAGAGTGCTCATGTCGAGGTCGGCGGGTAAACGCACTCAGTTCGGGGGCGGAAAAGAGGGGGGTGATGACTAGGGGGGGGTGGATATCATAGCGGGGGTCATGATATTTCCCCAGATTTCATGGCGCCTCTTCTTATTTCATTACGTCCCTGGCCCCCCCGCTGGGCCGCGCACATGCCGCCGGTCATGATCTGCACCCCCCCCTCTTGGACACCCCCCTCTTGGCCGCTCCCGATCAGTGGTGGCTGTGGCTCTCCGTGGTGCGGCGACCCCCCGAGGTCCCCGGGGCCGGCTTTCCGCTCTGAGTCGTCCATCGACGGCCCCAAGGTAAAACGACCCGAAGATCGGGATAAAATCGGATCGGGATAACTCGAAATCTCTGAGAGTCGGCGGGTTCGGAGGATGTGTTGGGCGCCGCGGCCGCTCCAGAGCGTTCTGGAGCGCTCTGAGAGCGCTCCGGAACGCTCTGGAGCGATTTATCCCGATCCTAGCCCTGTTTTACAAGGCCCGGGAAGGGCCCCCGGAGTCGGGAGCCTCGAGAGGGGTGTCAGTGCATTTGGGGGGTCAGCCAGAGCGCCCGATCTTGCAGGATCCTGCAGGGCCTGGGCATATTGACCCGAGCTTGGGCGCCGGATCCTGCAGGATCTTGCAAGGTGCTTCGCATCGACCTGGGCTCGGGCGCAGGATTTTGGAAGGCTCTTGCAGGATCCTGCAGGGCCTGACTGACCCAGGGCTGGATGGACCCCGCTCCGACAGGGGCCGAAAACAGGAGAGGGGGACCGGCTTTCACCAAGATGCGGGCAAGATTCATGTCCATATCCAGTGCCTCTTGGACTTTTTTGGAAGCGGCGCCACGAGGCCGAGGCGCACTGGATATGGATAAAAATCGAGCCCCTAGGGGGCAAATTTATCCATATCCAGTGCGCCTCGGGTTTCTTGGGAAGGGAGCCCGACACTCCATACTGCAGTGGGTATAGACAGAAGTATTGCCCGCACAAGAGGGCAGCGGCGCCGATCTGCGCGCCCGCGCCGCCCGAGAGGTGCAGAAGGCGGACGTGGACCGGGAGCTCGAGCGGCTGCGGCGGCGGGGCGCGGAGCAGGCGGAGCAGCTGGCCGCCACGCAGCGGCACAGGGACGAGCTGCTGCAGGAGGTGGCGAGCCTGCAGAAGGCCGGCAGTGCACGATGGAAACGGGTACTCCAGATTTCGTAATAATAGGGAGGGGGTCTGGACCCTCCAAGACAAGCCATAGCAGACCCCCCCCGTGGGAGAACCCTCCAAAACATCGCCCCCAGACCCCCCCAGGCCCTCCAAGGTAGCCTGGAAGAGACCCCCCCCGAAATGAGACCCCCCTCCCTTTCTTACGAAATCTGGAATATCCTTGAGCTGGCAGGGTCGACCTGCTAATCCGGGCCGACTGCACTCTCCATGAGGGGGGCGGGGGGGGGGGAGGACAGCGAAGGAGGGGGGAGGCGACGAGGGGGAAGCGAGGAGGAAGAAGGGGGTGGGGACGGAGGAGCTAGAACGAGGAGGAGGAGGAGGAGGAGGACCCAGGCACGATCGCGTCGCGACGAAGAGTGGGGGCTGGAGGTCTTGGCCGTCTTCGGCCTCGGGAGGCCGTCGCTGGGCCTCGGGACCGTCAAAAAATGTTTCGGGATGAAAAACCATCAGGAGGGAAAAAAGCACACAGACACAATTAATCGTCGATCTCCCAGAAAATATGGGAAAATATGGGAAGTGGGGGGGGAAGACAAAAACTCAAAAAATATATGAAAATATGGGGAATCTGTTTATTTGTGTGTATTTATTTGTGTGTTCCAATTCCCCTTCAGACAAACCAGTCCCGGGGCATTGGTCTTGACTTCTGGGGACCCCGCATTGAGACAATCATGGGAGGCCTGAGAATGGGCACCAGCACCAACACAACGGGTTGCCTCCACAGGGGGAGGATGATCCCAGGTTTCGGTGTTCGTGGTAATGTTTCGGTCACTCTGGCAGCCAGAATATTACCACCATCACCGAGGTCGGGATCTTCTTCCCTCTGTGGAGGCACCTCCAAAATTGGTGTTGGTGCCAACATCTAGGCCTGCGAAATCAGGACGTCGCACGTCTGGGAACGTGTGCGGGAACCGACTGCACGTAAGAGTGGGCCTTCGTCGGAGTGACCCTTTGGTGCGGGCCCAATGGGGTCCCCCGATCGCCGAACGCGATGCGAGAGTAGCGTCTTGCGCGCTCGTGTTGGGTCCCCTCGCGGCCCCCCAAAAGCCGCAACTGTTGGCCAGATCGCGAAGCAAGCCGTTGGGCGAGCCCACTAGGGAGGGGGATCCCGCGTGAGACATCTTCGCGATTCACTCACCGACGAGGCTCCCGCTTGATATTTCCTCCATATTAAGGCCTGGGGAGCCTAAAAGTGACGACAGTTTCAGTTACCAGGATGACCCGCTCGGATTAAAAACATGGGGTGCGGGACCCATACGGAGGGGGCTCCCGCCTGAGAGACTTCCTCGCAATTTACTCACCGGCGATGCTCCCGCTTGATACTTCCTCCATTTTCAGGCCTGGGGAGCCCAAAAGTGATGACAGTTACAAGAATTAGGATGACCCGTTCGGATTATCAACAGGAGTTGCGGGACCCATAGCGAAGGGGTTCGTGTCTAAGACTTTTCTGAATTTTACTAACTTGCGAGGCTTCCGCTTGATAATTCCTCCAACTTCAAGCCTCGGGAGCCCAAAAGTGACGACAGTTTCAGGTATGAGGATGACCCGCTCGGATTAAAACTGTGAGGGGAGGGACCCATAGGGAGGGGGCTCCCGCCTGAGAGACTTCCTCGCGGTTCACTCACCGACGAGGCTCCCGCTTTAGATTGTCTCCATATAGAGGACTCTGGAGCCCCAATGTGACGACAGCTACATGTATTAGGATGACCCGCTCGGATGAAAAACTTGAGGTTCGGGACCCATAGGGAGGGGGCTCCCGCCTGAAACCTCTTCGCAATTCACTCACAGACGAGGCTCCCGCTCGAGACGTCCTCAAGATGAGTGTGTGTGTGTGTGTGAGCCTGTGATATATATATATAGAGAGAGAGCATGCGTGGGTGCGTGAGTGCGTGCGAGACGGTGATGGTGGTGATGATGATGGTGATGGTCAGGGTGTGGCATTGGGTGAGAGGGTGAGTGAGTGAGTGAGTGAGTGAGTGATGAGTAAATGTGAGTGACTGAGTGATGTGAGAGTGTGTGAGTGAGCGACCGAGTGGTGGTGATGATGACGCGTGAGTGCGTGACGAGGAGAGGGGGGGGTGAGGGGTGAGACTGCGCGGGATGTCCAGAGATGACAAGACCCCACACATGATGTGGGGAACAACAGCACATCGGATCCCTGGGCGCGTCGAGGCGGACCCAGCCATGGCGACGAGGAGCCTAGGCCCAGACAGGGCGCAAAACGCCATACTCTGAGATCCGACATTGCACAACATAGCAACATCGTGATAACTCTCGACTGGAGCCCTGAGCCCATCTTTCTGCGACAACCTTTGGGCTGGATCGATTTCAGCTGGTGGCCCGATACCCAAGGGCTCCCTCGAGGGCGCGAAGTTATTCGCGCTTCGCGCTTCGCGGTCCTCGTTCCTTCTCCCCCTCCTCCTCGTCCTCCTCTTCTCCCCCTTGGGGGGCGGCGCGAGAGCGCGAAGTTATTCGCGCTTCGCGCTTCGCGCAGCGCGAAGCGCGAAGTTGGGAGCCCTAGGATACTGGGCGACACCGCCCAGCACACGCGTGTGAAGCAGAGGCATCGCCAGGACCTCTGGGCACGCCGTGGTCTCGGCCGGCCCAGACGTGCGACGTCATGTCTTTCTCAGCGCGCGGTCCCTGGAAGTCCCGACCCATGTCAAGGGCTCCCTCGAGGGCGCGAAGTTATTCGCGCTTCGCGCTTCGCGGTCCTCGTTCCTTCTCCCCCTCCTCCTCGTCCTCCTATTCTCCCTTTGGGAGGGCGGCGCGAGAGCGCGAAGTTATTCGCACTTCGCGCTTCGCGCAGCGCGAAGCGCGAAGTTGGGAGCCCTTACAGACGTGCGACGTCATGTCTTTCTCAGCGCGCGGTCCCTGGAAGTCCCGACCCATGTCCCCTGGGCATTTCTTCGAGGAGCCGCGTTTCGATGGCCCCAGGGTCCGGTAAGGGCGCCTGGATGCCGAGCAGGGAAACAAGCCGTACAGTTTGGGAGCCATGCCACGGAACACCGTGCTTGCCTCCAGGGTGCCCTTGATTTCTTGGGTCTTGATGCTTTTGCAATCGGAAACGTGACGTTCCCACGCCAAAAACCCATGGACTTCCTGTGGTCTCAGGGTTTCTAGACATCCTAGATGGGGTCCGAATAGATGGGGTCGGAGGATCGTGCCGCATCGCCGATGCATTGACGATGCGGCTCGACGTGGAGCCCGTGTTTCCCCACGTCGACGTCGCCGATGCATCGCCGATGTCGCCGATGCATTGCCTGTGCATCGCCGATGTATCGGCGATGCGGCTCGATCCTCCGACCCCATCTACTCCGACCCCATCTAGGAGGCATCTAGACATGCGCTGTCCTGAGTTTTCAGTGCGGGCTCCCCAGAAGCTCCAATCCTTTCCCACGGGACCAGTTTCTCATCCTGAGTCGTTGTCTGATTGCCTTGGGGCCAAGGAAGGACCCCCAGAGGCCGAAAACGGCCAGAACCCCTCGTCGTGATGTTTTCATGACTCGAGGAGGTCTTGGAGTGGTGACATGTGCGCGCAGGAGAGGAGTTTGTTTGCTCGTTTCTGACTGCATGTGCGAGGAGGGGGAGGCGGAAGAGGAGGAAGAGGAGGAGGAGGAGGAGGAGGAGGAGGAGGAGGAGGAGGGGGAGGAGGAGGAGAAGGAGGCGGAGGCGGAGGAGGAGGAGGAGGAGGAGGCTGGAAACGACCCGAAAGGGTCAGACATTCATTTCCCCGCGAGGCCACCAAGGAGCCCCAAGGACCCCTGCCGAGGCCTCACGCCCTTGGCGTAGGCCGAACCTGGGTCAAGCCCCAGGCTCGGCCCACGCCGACCTGGCCCACGACTCAGGAGGGAAAGAAACACACAGACACAATTAATCGTCGACTCCCCGGAAAATATGGGAAAATATGGGAAGTGGGGGGGAAGACGAAAACCCAGAAAATATATGAAAATATGAGGAATATTTTGATTTGTGTGTATTTATTTGTGTGTGTCCTGGGGCCTCTTCAACGACGTCCGCCTCCTGGTCGGAGGCGGCGTCCTCGGCCTCCGCCGTGGCCGCGTCGAGCTGCTCGGCGAGCTCGGTGCAGCGCCAGGCGGCGGCCGCCAGCTCGTAATGCTGCGCCTGGCTCTCCACAGCGCCGCCGTTGCGCACCGCGGCCGCCGCCAGCGCAGCAGCGTACCATTTCGCCTCCTCCTCCTCGATCTTACGCTTGATGCGGTCGAGGCAGGCGAGCGAATCTATCTCCTTCACCTCGTCGGTGTCCTTGCAGAGTGGGGCGCACTTGATGTCCTCCATCAGCTCCCCCATCTTCTCGCAGTCGTTCTTGGACTCCCGCTTGTGGAGCCGAGTGCTCCCCAGGACCAGCACGTCTCCGTCGCTCCTGGCCGCGACCGTCTCCTCCGCCTCATCGACGGCCTCGCAGTCCGGGTCGCCCTTGCTGTCTTTCCTCACCAGCTCCCCCAACATCTCGGAGCCGTGCTCGGTCTCCCCCCTTGTGGAGCCGAGTGTTCTCCGGGAGCAGCACGTCTCCGTCGCTCCTGGCCGACACCAAACCCTTCACCCCATCGGTGGCCTTGTCGTCAAGGTCGCCCTCGAAGTCCATCTTCGTCAGCTCCCCCATCAGCCCGGAGCCGTTCTTGATCTCGCCTTAATGGAGCCGGGATTTCTCCAGGACCGCACATGTCCGTCGCACATGTCCGACACCAACTCTTTCACCGCATGGTTGGCCTTGCAGTCTGGGGTGCACTTGACGCCGAACTTCATCAGCTCCCCCGTCTGCTCGGAGTCGTTCTTGGTCTCCCCCTTGTAGAACCTGGTGTTCTCTAGGACCAGCACGTCTGCGTCTCTCATGGCCAACACGAGCTCCTTCACGTCGGTGGCCTTGCAGTCTGGGCCGCGAGAGATGTCCTCCATCTTCTGCTCCCCGATCTTCTTCGCCACCGGCTTCGAAGTCAGCTTCTCCAGCGGTTCGGCCAGAGCGCCACGGCGTCGCCCCTTCTGCCTCTGCTTCGCCTCCTTCGCGGTGGTAGGGAGCGCCGCCACGCCCCCGCCGAAGAGCGCGTGCTCCGCGACGTTGCGCGCAGCACGGGTCCCGCTGTCGACGCAGGCTTGGGTGTCCATGTGTCAGGAGGGAAAAAAACACACAGACACAATTAATCGGCGATTCCCAGAAAATATGGGAAAATATAGGAAGTGGGGGGGAAGACAGAAACCCAGAAAATATGGGAAAATATGGGGGGTATTTTTATTTGTGTGCATTTATTTGTGTGCCCCAGTTCCCCTTCAATGTGGGCCGCCACGACCTTGGCCCCGAGGACGGGCTCGACCAGGGCCTCGCGGCCGCCAGTGCCGCCGCATTCGCAGGCCGCACGCCACGAGGCGACCGCCGTGGCCGCCACGACGTGCCGCGATCCGCCCGCCTCCACGGCCGCGCGGAGGAGGCCTGCCGCTAGGGGATCAATGGGACCAGGCGGGTACCGTAGCGAGCTCAAACCAGGGGCCGAGCAATGGCTTGAGCCAAAATGGCTACGGAGGAGGAGGAGGAGGAGGAGGAGGAGGAGGAGGAAGGCAGGAGGAAGGCAGGAGGAACGGACGAGGAGGAGGAGGAGGAGGAGGAGGAGGAGGAGGAGGAGGAGGAGGAGGAGGAGTTAGTGGAGGAGTTAGAGGAGGAGTTAGAGGAGGAGGAGGAGGAGGAGGAGGAGGAGGAGGAGGAAGAGAAGGAGGAGGAAGTGAGGAGGATGAGCCCCCCCCCGACGCGAGCACGCCTCTGGGGCTGTCTCGGCGGCTGGCCCTCCCTCGCCGAGCGAGGCCTGGGCCCCGCTGCCCCGGCCGAGCTGCGCCACCTCGAGCACGAGGTCCGAGCACCTCGACCTCGGCGCCGACGCGCGGAGCGTCGGGCAGCACAGCGCCCACGACGACGGCGGCTTCATGTTCGGCCTCGACGCCCGCCGGCCGACCGTCATCACCAGGTCCTCGGGGCTCCAGAGACTTGGTATCGCTCGGACGTGTGCACTTGTTCTCGGCGGGGATTATTGAGGAGCAGCCTGGATCATCCTGCGGAAAAGCCACGCACGAAACCGAAGAAAACACAGGGAATGGACGTCCGAGCGATGGCCAGTCCAGAGACGGGGGTAGAGCGCGCAGGATCCTGCAGGGCCAGGGGCGCATTGGCCTGGGCTTGGATGCAGGATCCTGCAGGGTCCTGCAAGGCCTGACTGAACCGGGTCTGGATTGACCGGGTCAGGAGATCCTCGAGGTCGGAGGCCCCGACGACACGTTCCCAGACCCCCTCAAGACACGAACAAAGTCACGGCGCAGGGTGTTTTTCTGGATGTCCGTAAGGGCTTCGCCCCCTGCCGCCTGCCCCCCCTCTCTCGGATAATGGGTTATGCAAGAGCTAAATCATGAGGCCTCGGCGCCGCCGTGAAGCAGCATCGGCTAGAGAAATCGAGATTCTGATGATACTGTTGAACTCAGTGTTGCATTTCAAACCTGCCTCCGTATGCTGTGCACTGAAGTGTCCCACAGAACGTCAGACATGTGGCAAATCCCATGGGTTGTTCGACCCTGACCCTGCTGATCTGCATGACCGGTGCCGACGAAATTCAGAAATGTGGCAAATCCCATTGGTTTTTCGACCCTGACCCGCCGATCTGCGTGAGGGGTGCCGCCGAATATTAGAAATGTCCCAACTCCCATGGGTTTTTCGACCCTGGCTCCACCGATCTGCGTGAGAGGTGCAGCCGAATCTCAGAATTGTAGCAAATTCATTTGTTTTTCGACCCTGGCTCCACCGATCTGCGTGAGAGGTGCCGCCGAATTTTGAAAATATGTGGTGAATCCCATAAGTTGTTCGTCCCTGACTCCGCAGATCTGCGTGAGGGGTGCCGCCGAATTTGAAGGTAATGTGGCGAATCCCATGGGTTTTTCTACCCTGACACCGCCGATCTGCGTGAGGGGTGCCGCCGAATTTTAGACATGTGGCAAGCCCATGGGTTTTTCGACCCTGGCTCCGCCGATCTGCGTGAGGGGTGTCAATTTCGACTCCCCCAGAAATCGTGGGAACCCTCCCAGGAGACGCTATAACCAGGGCACTTTTCGCCCCCCCCCCCCCCCCTTCTACTACAACAAGAAGCAGCAATGCAACAAGAAGCAGAACTGTAACAGTGGAAGCTGGAAACCGCAGGCTGTTCTTCCGTAGGCAGATTTTGTATCATTAGCTGTTCTTCCGTAGGCTGTTTGGGCCAAGCCTCAGAGCTGAGGGCTAGCAAAGCCGAGTCCACGCTCCCAACGCGTGGGAGGCAAGACGGATAGATTTCAGATCAGATTTGAGTCTGCGAGGCCAAAAAACGAGAGAGTGGAAGCTGGAAGCTGGAACTGGCGCAGGGAACAGCAAACACCCTCGTCCTACAGCCCGGTGGCCCCACCGGGGGGGCCGGCGGATTTTCGGCCTCCGGGGCCCCGCGTGGGCCCCCGGACTGTCAACAAACACGACTCGGGATGAAAATCGGGTCCCAGAGGGAATGGGTCGAGACCTTTGGCAAGGGCGCCCTCGAGGGCGCGAAGTTATTCGCGCTTCGCGGTCCTCGTTCCTTCTCCCCCTCCTCCTCGTCCTCCTATTCTCCCTTTGGGAGGGCGGCGCGAGAGCGCGAAGTTATTCGCGCTTCGCGCAGCGCGAAGCGCGAAGTTGGGAGCCCTAGCGCAGGGAACAGCAAACACCCTCGTCCTACAGCCTGGTGGCCCCACCGGGGGGCCGGCGGATTTTTTCGGCCCCGGGGCCCCGCGTGGGCCCCCGGACTGTCAACAGACACGACTCAGGATGAACATCGGGTCCCAGACGGAGGGGCTCCAGCGGCGCGCAGGAGGGGTGAGCTCCTCCTCCTCCTCCTCCTCCTCCTCCTCCTCCTCCGCCTCCTCCTCCTCCTCCTCCTCCTCCGCCTCCTCCTCCTCCTCCTCCTCTTGGGCGAGGAGGGCGGCCTCTCGACGAGGGAATGGGTCGAGACCTTTGGGGCTAAGCGCACCATCCGTTCCGAATGACGGAACCGCCAGCATCAGTAGAGTCACCCGTTCTGCAAATGACGGACTCGCACAAAAATAGTAGAACCACCCTTTCCACAAACGAACTCTGTAGAATTAGTAGGACACCCGTTCTAAAAATAAGCCACCAGATCTACAAATGACCGAATGGCAAAAATTAGCAGAACCATCCGTTCTACGAATGACAGAACGGCCAGAATTAGTAGAATCATCTGTTCGTCGGGGTCTGGGTTCTGGGCCTTCCAGATGAGGTCTGATCACATGGGGCCGGAGGCTCGCGCCGCATCGCCGATGCGTCGGCGACGTGACTCGATGTGGAGCCCGACTTCCTCCGCGCGGACGTCACCGTTGCATCTGATGAGCCGATGTTCCACCACCACTACCATGGGAGGGAGAGGGAGGAGGAGGAGGAGGAGGAGGAAGAGGAGGAGGAGGAGGAGGAGGGCGTTCCCATCCTCCCTGCTCCCCCGTCCTACCTATAGTAGCGGTGGAGGTGGACAATCGGCCCATCAGCATCGGCGACGTCGCCGATGCATCGCCGAAGCATTGCCGTCGTGGATGGTGAGGCTTCGGGCTGCGCACATGCAGCCCCGCCAAAGTTGTGACAGCTGGCATTGGCAGGCCCCCAGATCACCACCCACCAAACCACCCCAACCCAACCCGAAGGCTCAGATTTACCCTCGATTTCCAGTGGGGGGGGGGGTCGGGAACCATCGAAAAAACACGTGTGGAACCCTCACCCCCCCCAACCCGAAATTCGGGTCTTCGGGTTGGGTTGGGGTGGTCTGGTAGGTAGTCACCAGAGAAGCCCCCGCTGGCCTCAAGAGGACCCCCAGCCTGGGGCGCCGCCTCCGGCAGCGCCCGTGAGGCGCTCCGCGCCCGAGGGTTGGGGTGTTGAGACCGCCCCGGGCCACTTGGGGGGGAGGAGGAGGAGGAGGAGGAGGAGGAGGAGGAGGAGGAGGAGGAGGAGGAGGAGGAGGAGGAGGAGGAGGAGGAGGAGGAGGAGGAGCTGCTGAGGCCATCTGGGACCACTCTCGAGGGGCCTGTTGAGGCCAGCTGGGGCCCACTGGGGGGCGCTGCCTGTGCGCAGCCCGAATCCCGACCATACACGCGAGAGTGACCTTCCCAGAGGGGGTCCTCTGGTGCGTGCCCACCGGGGTCGCCCGACCGTTGGATGCGGCTGGGAGGCCGAGGTGGCCCAGCCCTGGTTCCGGCCAGCAGAACAGAACGCATGGGGCGGAAAGGGGCCCGCATATCGCCACGGCTGAACGCGGCTCGCAGGTGGGGCAGTTCCGACCACGGGACGTGCTTGGGGACAGATTTGCCTTCGTCCCCCCCCTCTGGACAGATTTCTCGGGGCCCCCCCTGGCCGCGCCCAACCCGTTAGTTGACTGCCATGCGACAGCAGCGGCTCGCGCGCTCGGGTTTGGCCCCCCGCTCCCCCGGGATGCCTCGCAGCAGAGCTGCTTTTGCCCAGAACCGCTCGCGCGTGTGGCCGATGACAGGTGAACGCCAGGATTAAGGCGGGCCTGTCCCTCTACGGGAGGAATATTCAAGAATAGTCAAACATTACTACGGTGACGATTTGTCCATAATTGTTTTGACTCTTTTTGGGGGTATTTGTTGAGTCCTTGAAATGTTTCGCCCAAGATCCGCCTGTATGGGGACAGGCCCGACCTAAGCCCAGGACCGCTCGTGCGTGTGGCCGATGACAGTAGAACTCGGCGGTGGACAGAACCCCCAACAGTGACACGTCGATTAGTGAATTGTCCGTTTTCGGTTCTCGAGAGGGCGCCGCGGCCGTTATTTTCCAGGCTGGCGCCCGCCAGGTTTAGGCCTCAGGTCGTTTTCACTAAACCACGTTTTACTAAAGGGGGTTCTGTCCATCCCCGATGGGCGCGGATCTCTTGGATCCGCGATGGGCACCCTGCGGCGGCGCTTCCGGCGCCGACCCGTGCGCGCTCCGCGCGCCATGGAGGGTGGTCCAGCGCAGATGCAATACATCCGCGAGGAGCGTTCAAAGTTTACGTTTCTGGCAAAAGTTCTTCTTCTATCACTTGCTTACGCTGCGTTTCGGTTGAAGGGTCTGTCCACCCCCGAAGAACGCCAGGATCCGAGGAAGAGGCTGGTCAGCGTTCGGCTCTGCCGGGTCCTTCCCGTCGGAGGAGTGCCCGTCGAGGCGCCCGGGTGCCTGCACATGCTTTTCGCTCCCCGTGCTTCTGTCCGGAGGGGGAAAAACACAGACAGACACAATTCATCGTCGCCTCCCAGGAAAAGATATACAGAAATATGGGAGGTGGTGGGGAAGACAAAAGCCCAGAAAATATGGGGAAATATGGGGGATGTTTTTATTTGTGTGTATTTGTTTGTGTGTTCCAGTTCCCCTTCATTTTGGGGCGAGGAGGAGGAGGAGGAGGAGGAGGAGGAGGAGGAGGAGGAGGAGGAGGAGGAGGAGGAGGAGGAGGGAGGAGAGAGAGGAAAGGAGGAGGAGGGGGGAGGGGGAGGCGGGCACCCGGGGGGCCGGGGGGCGTAAGGGCGCTTGGGCGCTGAAGGCAGGCCGGGCCCCTGGGTAAACCATTCCCGGCCGGCGACGACGACGAGAGACACACGACACCCGAACCGAGACGACGACGAAACACGACACGACACACGGGACGGGACGACGCCCGCGGGTTCGCGGGGGGGCGGGGCCCGGCCGAGGGCGGGCGGGGGTCGGGGGGCTGGGAGGGCCTCGGGGGGGGGTCTCTGCAGCTCAGAGCAGGATGTTTCAAGCTAACTTCGCAGGCGATTTCTCTCCCCCAATCCCCGACTTCCGCCAGAAAAGTTTGGTCGCTCAGAAAAGGGGAGGAATCTTGGGATACATCCCGAGGGGGCTATTCGGACGCACTGTCGAGGATGGACGCCCCCCCCTCGTATATCCCAGGGTTGGGCCCCAAATTGTTGATCCTCTCGAAAACCTCACGGAGCCTGGGATAGGGGTCGACGCATCCCCTGTTATAACTGGTTGAGGCGGCAGTTTCACGGCCGATTCGTCAGGGCGTTGCTCCGGCGGCCCCGGTGGCACTCGAGCATTTCACTTGGAACCCAGCGCTGACCTGGCCGTCTTCCTGTGGTCCCGGCAGCAGGGGTGTCCGCGGTTCGGTCGTCTCGGCTGCGTCGCAGTCGGCTGCCTTCGGCCGGTTCCCTTCGGTCGGCTGTCGGTCTTGCTGACGCCGCGGGCGGCCTTGCGGCACCCAGACCGCCTCCAGCGAGGAGGCCTACGGTCCACGATGCCTCCGCGAGCTGGAGGCCGGAGATGCCTGGAGCAGGGCGCTGCAGGACGGGGGGGGCCGCAGCACCAGGAGGGCCCTCCCTGGCTCCTCGCGCCGGCGGTGGTGGCGGTGCCGCTTTGTCTTTGCCGCGCCTGGCCAGGGAGCGGCTGGAGAAGCAGAAGAGGCGGGAGGCGAGGGAGAAGGACCGAGGGCCAGAGCAAGCCCGGCACGGGCCTGCGCGGCTGGGAGGCCCGCGCGGCCTTCTCGGAACTCCCCGCAGCCCCTTGCCTGGCTCCCTCCGCGCTCTGGAGCCTCGAGCGTTCGGCGCTGTTGTGCCTTCTGCTCCAGCTGGAACTGAGACTCAACGGTGTTGGTGCTCGTCGGACGTGGCTAGGACGAGGACAAATCCGTTCCGGCGCGTTCAAGAACGTTCTCAGAGCGTTGTTGAACGCTCTGAGAAGGCCGTGGCGCCCGAAGCCTTCTCCAGGGCCGCGGGAACTCAGAGATTCTCGATTGATCCTCGCCCGATTTTGCCGCGCCCTGGCTTCGTCTCATCTGGTCTTGGTTGCCCCCCTGGAGGGTCAAGGGATGCGGGTCCAGCCTTGACCCGAGCTCTGCGCGCAGGCCTCCGCCAGATGTTTGGGCCGTCTCGCGGTCCTTCGCGGCGCCACGGGGCCACACAGTGATGGGTCGGCCGCTGTGCATGCGTGCTGCCGCAGTGGTGGTCTTGCTTCCCCACACCACCGTGCCGTCTGTTGCGCGCCGTTGGCTGTTTTTCGAAGACGAAAAACGCCGAAATGTTTGGCGCTGGGCGCGGATCTCTTGGATCCGCGATGGGCACCCTGCGGCGGCGCTTCCGGCGCCGACCCTTGCGCGCTCCGCGCGCCATGGAGGGTGGTCCAGCGCAGATGCAATACATCCGCGAGGAGCGTTCAAAGTTTACGTTTCTGGCAAAAGTTCTTCTTCTATTATTTGCTTACGCTGCGTTTCGGTTGAAGGGCCGTCATTCGGATCCTGCGCCACTCAGATCCGCCTCGCCTCTCTCCCGCCCCCCCCCCTCCGCCCCCCCCTGGGGAAGGGGGGAAACAATCCGATAGGAGGATCATCCGGAGGCGCGCCAAGCAGCATGCACCCCCGAACTTTCACAACACAAGGGATTCGTGGCCTACCTTGGGTGCTCTGCTTTTGGGGTCCACCCTAAACATGCAGGTGCTCCCGTTTGAGGCATCCTCGAAACAACCCCCTATCCCTAATGTTTGTGGCCCTCCTAACTTAGCTCACTAAGGATTAGGGGGGCCTTCATTGCGTGTCATTATCAGAATGCGGCGGGACTTCGGATGAGGCTCCTGCTGACCTTCCGAGCCTCCTGAGGAGGCCCGCCCCTTGCTGTCTTCCTGTTCCCCTGAACGGGCCGTCGAATCAAGGGAGGGGGGAGGAGGCACACGTGCATACAGTGGAAACCCATGCCACGAAACACCCTTCTTGTCTCCAGGGTGCCCTGGGTTTCTTGGGTTTCCGATGGTTTCGCTGTGGAAAGCGCGACGTCCCCACACCAAAACCCAATGGCCACCCTGGGGTCTCAGGGTTGGGTTTCTTGTGGACGGTTTCTTGTGGTCGAGCTCCTACTGGAGCAGTCGTAATCTTCCTGGTCCTCTCTGGCCTTCCGGCAGGAGAAGGCCCGTGCGAGGGTACAGGGCTTCCTCCTCGAGGGCGCGACCAGCGCCCCCAAGGCCCGCGACCACGAGCGCCACGGGCGGGACAAGGACCCCGGAGCACCAGGAAAGCCACAGGCGGGGTCGTCTGTCAGAGGAGGAAAAGGTGCCCATACCTCCACCCTCTCCTCGCTTTCCCCCTGTTGGGCCTCCTGGGCCTCCCTCGTCGGCCACCGCTGGATGCGCCACGAAATTCGGGTCAGAGCGCACCCCAGGAGAGGTCTGGGGAGTAGCGGTATCGGTACCTTTGGGTCTCCCCAGTCTGGCGGAGGCGAGGGTAGGGGAACGAACAATGACAGAGGCATACTAACTCGCAGGTCCGCGCGTATTCCTCGGATTGGCGCTGGGGCCCGCCTCCGGCGCCGCCCCTGGCGCGCTCCGCGCGCCAGGGAGCGGGATCCAGCGCAGATCCAAGAAATCCGCGCGGAGCGCCAAAAGTTTATGTTTGTGGCGTTGTTTCTTCTCCTATGCCAGGCACCCGTCCCCAGTACTGTATGTGGTCGCTCCCGTCGCCCCGCGGCGCCCCTGGTCTCTCTCTCTCTCTTTCTCTCTCTCTCTCTCTCTTGTTTTTTTTTTTTTTTTCTCTCTCTCTCTCTCTCTCTCTTTCTCTTCCTGGCCAGGCACGGCGGTGGTGGTGGTGGTGGCGTGTACGGTGAGTTCGTGTCCATGCCGGGGCCCAGGACGGCCCGGGCCAGACACGGCACGGTGGTGGTGTTGTGTACGGTATGTTCGCGTCCATTGTCGTGTCGACGTGGAGGCGACTCCACCACGACTCTTCCAGGTTGAACGCCGCCAGTGTCCCAGAACCGTTGAATGTATGGGACGATCTGGCGATCGGAACGGCGCCGACCGTCACCGTTGAACGGCCCACGCGGTCTGGGCAACTCCTGCGCAGCACGAAGCTGCCGTAGGTGCCGCGGCGGCGAGCGAGGGTGGGCAGCGAGCAGGAGGAGGCCTTTTCAGAAGGCGCCTCGACTTCTCAAAAGAAGTCCTCTGGCCTTCAAAAAACTTTCCGCGTCTTCAGGGGTGGCTGGACACATGTATCCGAAGACCAGAGGCATTCCGAGCCTTCTGGGATGGCCCGGCGCCCTCTCATTTCCCTCCTGAGCACGCCGCCGATCATGCACAGCTCGTCGCGGCACGAAGCTGCCGTAGGTGCTTCCCTACGCAGTGAGCTGTGTTTTTGTCCCTCCCCGGCGTAACGCTCTAGCTCCCCCCCCTCAGGTAACGTGGCCGATCGCACTGGGCAGGGAAGGCCTGGACCCCCCCACATGCTCGCAAGCATGCCGTGGTGCTGAAAGGCATGCTTGGCGCTCGTAAACGTGTTGTGGCGATCGCAGGTTCCCCACCTGTTGCGGCGCCGAGCTCACAGGCATGGCGTGGTGCCGAAAGGCATTATTCCGTGCACGCATGCGCGTTGTGCGTGTAGTGGCGTTTGCAGACTATTGCGGTGCGCATAAGTCAGGCAGGCTCACTGCCAATGCTCTGCTCGGAGGGCGGTGGGACAGGGGACCGATGTTGAGCAAGAACACATTGGCGCACGTGGGCCCCAAACAGTTATTTGTTCCACTTGAAGAGCAGGGCACGCGATGAAACCTGTACGGTGCTACCAATGTCGGCACTTGTGCAAGCATTGCGCGGGAAGCACGAGCGCCTGAATGCAAGCGCTGTTTTGGAAAGTCCACAGCGCTGGAGCCTTCGACCCCATTGTGAGGATCCTGCTGTTCTTCCTGTTGCTGCTCCTCCTGCTGCTCCTCCCCCCGCTCCAGATTCCCTACCTCAACTGAGACCGCCAGGGCAGTTGAAAGAGGAGAGGAAGAGGACAGGAAAGAGGACAGGGAGGAGGAGGTGCAGGAGGAGGAAGAGGAAGAGTTTGAGTAGGAGGAGAGGAATGACGAGTCCTGAAGGCCTCCGTGGTCTGTGGCAAGCCCCGCAAGGAAGTCTCGCAAGCTACTAATGTGCTCGTTGGCACGTTTGGCATTATTGTGTGCACATGCGGTGCGGTGCACGCAGGCATTGGCGTGCGTAGGCGCTACTGTGACATGGTTGCTGTGGTGTACACAGGCGCTGTGGTGTACAGAAGCGCTATGGGGCACGCAGGCAACGAGGCGTACGCAGGCGCTGTTTTGGTGCTGCGGTGCACGCGGCTCTTGTGGTGTAGTTACGGAGGCATTGCGGTGTACACCTTAGGCGATGCTTAAGAAAACCCAAGTTTTCGGCCAGAGTCTCGATTATTCTTAACGTTTCAATGTAAATCCTAAGATTTGAATAGAATCTTTGGTTTTTCATTCAAGTTCTGAGACCATGAATTTCTTAACCCATGATTTCTTAAACATTTCGCAGGGTGTACACAGGCGGCGGCGTGTTGCACGCAGGCATTGGGCTCTGTCGAGTACGCAGGGACTGTAGTGCACACTGGCGATTGATGCGCCGGTGGCGTGGACGCACCCTGGCGGGTGCACCCCGCGGCCGCCGTGACTGGTACCTTCCCGCCCGACCCCCCCCCCCTTGGGTAACGACCGTTTCCCCGGAGGGAAAAACGCTCACCTAACCCTCCTCCTCCTCCTCCTCCTCCTCCTCCTCCTCCTCCTCCTTCCGCCTCGCCCTCCTCTTCCTCCTCCTCCTCGTCCTCCTCCTCCTCGTCCTCCTCCTCCCTTGTGCCCCCCTCCCCCCCCCCCGCCGCCAGCCCGACAGGAGTCTCACCGCGAGGAGGGGGCCGCTGCCTCCAGGACCGCGGCCCCCTGCCGCGCGCAACAGATAAAACCGGGCGGGCCCCCTCGCCGCACCGCGACCTCGGGGGGGCCCGGCTCTCGGGGCGCACGGCGGGGGCCAGGCCCATCATCTGCGACTACAGTCGGGGCCCTGAAGAAGGAACCCTTTTCATTGGGGAGGGGCTCCGTGTTCCTTAATTGTTTCGCAGCTTGCCCTAGGTTTTCCTTAGGTTTTCGATCTGAAATCGAAGTTAAGTTATAGAAAGTAGGGGCCTCGTTCCTCATTTGGGGTTCCTTAGGTCAACGCCCCGACTGTACACTCGGGCATGGCCAGGACCCCAGGTGAGGGGACCCGGTTAGTAGCAGGGCCCCGGAGCTCCTAAATTTGCCAGGGTCACTACACCGGTCTGCCGTAGCGGGTGTTTTTCGGGTGACGGCAGTTCTGGTCAGTGGAGCGGGCAGTTTCGGGTGACGGCAGTTCCGTCCCACAGCAATTACACATTTTTGAACCAGGTCCCACTAAATTTGTTTTTGCCAACGCCCGATACACAGGGCATGGTAGCTTTAAGCCTCCCAGATGGGGTCGGAGTAGATGGGGTCGGAGGATCGCGCCGCATCGCCGATGTATCGATGATGTGGCTCGATGTGAAGCCCGATGTGCTCCGCGTCGACGTCGCCGATGCGTCGCCGACGTCGACGATGTATCGCTGGTGCATCGCCGATGCATCGCCGAGCATCGCCGATGTATCGGCGATGCGGCGCGAACCTCCGACCCCATCTACCCCGACCCCATGTAGGACGCTTCTAATCATCTGCGACTACAGAGGGCGTCATAACGCTGGTGTGTGTGTGTGTGTGTGTGTTTGCAACCGGCGCCGTTGGGGCCTGGGGTGATTGGGCCGACGTTCCACCACCACTACCATAGGTTGGACGGGGCGGAAGGGAGGATGGGGAGGTCCTCCTCCATCTCCTCCTCATCCTCATCCTCCTCCTCTTATTCCTCCTCTCCCCTTACTCCTCTTTCTCCTCCTCCACCTCCGTCTCCTGCCCATGGAAGCGGTGTTGGAAAATCGGCCCTTCATGGGGGGGGGGGGGGGCACGACATTGTCCTCGGGGCGCGGCGGCGAACTCTGTCGGGTCGCCCCCCGCGCCCCCCGGGTTGCCCCCCAGGGGTGCTCGTTCCAAACCACACATTTTGCAAACCACACCCCTCGGAGTCGCCCACATCAGCCCCCTCGAGCCACGAAAAAAACACGACGGAAGTTTTTCTCGATTTTTGGCTTCTGGGGACCCTTACGAGACCTCGGGGCCGTCCAACACCGACCCAGGATGAAACTCCGGTTCCTGGGAATGGGTCGAGACCTCTGGGCGTCGACGTTATGAAACAAGCATAACGCGGGGGGTCTGGGAGAGGAGGCATGGGCCACCGCCACCGAGGTCGAAGAATGTGTCAACACATAGACAAGCATCATCTTGTCGGAGGTCCACGCGGACGTCTTGGATCGCTGCTGGGCCCCCCTGGCGCTGCCTCTGGCGTGGCCCCTGGCGCGCTCCGCGCGCGGAACCGGCGCCGATCCACGACATTGGGCGTTGCGTAATGGAGGGGTCTGAATTGGGGGGGTGTCGCGGGTGGTCCGAATTTGTACCCAAACGGTACCTAAACGAGCCCCCTGGGGCTCTGGAGGGGCCCGAAAGGGGCACGAAAGGGGACCTTTTTTGACCCCCCCATTTGTGACCCCCCCATTAAGCCACGCCCAACGCGTGGAGCTCCAAAAGTTTCTGGTGACGCCGTGTTGTCTTCCATTAGTCGGAGGGAAAAGTGGGTCCCCACCACCGACAGCCCACCGGGGGGCGCCGACCCCTCGGCGGTGGCACGCCCGAGCATCACTCAGTGCTGCTGGACGACGCTCGCGCGTGCCACCGCCCAGGGCCCAGGGGTTGGTCCCCACCGATGGGTTCTCGGTGGCGGCGGGCTCTGGTCTGTGAGCCCGGGCGCGCGGGCCGCTGCTGTCGCATCGAGCGCAGCGGTCGGCAATCCGCGCACCACGGGCCACTGCTTGCCTACTTCAGGAGCGAAACAAGGACGTACATGTACATGAATCCACGCTGGTTTCGAGAGCACGCATTGCACAAATGTTCGTATAACTCGGCGGGTCTCGCGAATCGAGGGGCCGTGTTCATGTACATAGCTGGGCGCGTACGTCCTTTGTGGGCTCCCTACTACTGCAATGTTGAGAAAACGATCGCCTGCACAAGCCTAGACTTCGGGGAGTCCGCGCGGACCTCGTGAGTCGGCGATGGGCCGCCTTTCCTGGCGCGCAGAGCGAGCCAGGGAAGGGCAAGCCCCCGAGGCGCCGCCAAGGGGGCTCCAGCACCATCCCAGGAAGCCCGCGCGGACCTCCGAAAGTCGTTGTTGCTGTTGCTGTTGCTGTTGCTGTTGCTGTTGCTGTTGCTGTTGTTGTTGTTGTTGCTGTTGCTGTTGCTGTTGCTGTTGCTGTTGCTGTTGCTGTTGTTGTTGTTGTTGTTGTTGTTGTTTGTTGTTGTGGTTGTGGTTGTGGTTGTGGTTGTTGTTGTTGTTGTTGTTGTTGTTGTTGTTGTTGTTGTTGTTGTTGTTGTTGTTGTTGTTGTTGTTGTTGTTGTTGTTGTTGTTGTTGTTGTTGTTGTTGTTGTTTCTCATTCCTGAAGAGTAATTCTTGTTGATTCCCCCCCCCCACAGGTGCATATTGTTTTTGTCCCCATCAAAGTGTGCCCCTCGACGCTCGCACCCTGTTGTTTTATCAGGGACAGTCTTGAGGCTCAAACTGGGCCCCTGGCCCCGGGGTTACAACAACAACGGCTCCCGCCTGAGATTTCCTCACAATTTATCCAGGACCCCCGCTCCCGCCCGAGATTCCCCCGCATATTATTCAGGAATCGCGCTCTCGCTTGGGACTTCCTTACCATTTATGTAGAAATCGCTCTCCCGGCGCTCTGGAGTCGCGCTCTCGCTGGAGACTTGCTTGCAAGTTATTGAAGAATAGCGCCCTTGCGTTGGAATTTCTTGCAATTTACTCAAACGCCGCGCTCCCGACACCCAGGCACCCAGGAGTCGCGCTCACGCTTGGGACTCCCTCACACATTACCTAGGAATCGGGATATCGCTGCCCTTCGTGGCCCCGTTGCAGCCCTTCGTGGCCCCCTCGCTTTGTTTCGTGGCCCCGTTGCAGCCCTTCGTGACCCCCTCGCTGCTCTTCGTGGCCCCGTTGCAGCCCCTCGTGGCATCCTCGCTGCCCTTCGTGGCCCTATTGCAGCCTGTCGTGGCCCCCTCGCTTTGTTTCGTGGCCCCGTCGCTGCCCTTCGTGGCCTTCGTGGCCCCCGCTCGTTCGCGCCCGTGGTGGCCCCATATGCATGCCCTTCGTGGCCCGCTGTCGCCCTTCGTGGCCCCCTCGCTGCCCTTCGTGGCCCCGTTGCCGCCCTCAGTGGCCCCGTCCTTGCCCTCCGCGGCCCAGTATACGTATGCCCTTCGTGGCCCCCGCTCGTTCGCGCCCGCTGGCCCCATGTGCATGCCCTTCGTGGCCCCGCTATCGCCGTTTGTGGCCCCCTCACTGTCCTACGTGGCCCAGTTGCTATCCTCAGTGGCCCCATGGTTGCCTTCTGTGGCCCCGCATTAACTATCTGCCCTTCGTGGCCCCCGCTCGTTCGCGCTCGTGGTGGCCCCATATGCATTCCCTTCGTGTCCCCGCTGTCGCCCTTCGTGGCCTACTTCGTGTCCTTGTGGCCCTACTGTCGTTCTCTCTCGCTCTCGCTTTCGCTCGTCGCCGCCGTCGTCGTCGTTGTTGACCTGGGGCTTATCTCAACTCTTCCGAATCGACCCCCCTCTGCGCGTGGCCGATTGGGCCCGGGGGCGGCCGCAGGCCTCGCGACCGCGGCGAACGCGACCGCGACCGCGACCGCCGCGAGCGCGGCGGGGCCGCCGGGCCGCACGGCGAGGCGCAGAGGCGCGCGGCGGGGCGCCGCTTGACGCTGCCTAACGTTGCACGGCCCACAGGAGGGTCGAGGGCTGTGGAGGATCGAGGAGGATCGAGGAGGATGTGGAGGATCGAGGAGGATCGAGGAGGATCGAGGGTCGAGGGCTGCGGAGGGTCGAGGAGGATGGAGGAGGATGTGGAGGATCCAGGAGGGTCGAGGAGGATCGAGGAGGATCGAGGGCTGTGGAGGATCGAGGAGGATCGAGGGCCAAGGAGGGTCCAGGATCGAGGAGGAGCCAGGAGGGTCGAGAGGGCCAAGGAGGGTCTGGGATCAAGAAGGGTCCAGGGTCGAGGGCCCAGGATCGAGGAGGGTCTAGGATCGAGGGGCTGGAGGATCGAGGAGGATCGAGGGCCAAGGAGGCTCCAGGATCGAGGAGGATCCAAGGGGATCAGCAAAGTGAGCTGCTTGGCAAATCCCCGCTTGGCCACGCCCCCCTTCCGTCCAGCCCGCCTTGCTCGCGGGCCCGCGAGGCAGCTGGCGCCCCCGTGGCTGCGGCCAGGGCAAGGGAAGTCCATCGGTTCGACAGAAAAGAGCACGGAAAGTGTGGGGGCGAGCGCCGACAGTGGTTCTTTTTCATTCGAGCACGTGTCGCCCTGACTCACGATCCCTGCTTCTGTCGCCCTTGTTTCCCGTCCCCCCTCCCACAGTCTGTATTGTTTCTGTAGCCCTCTCGCTGGCGGCCGGGCGTCGGCGCTAGTCACCAGCGCCGCCGCCGTTGTGTTTCAATTTGGCGTGTGCCGCCCCCGCGATTCGCTTGAGCAGGGGGACTTTTTAGTTCTCTAAAAAACACGCGCGCCCCATGGATTTGTTAATCACAAATTGACATTGCGCATTTGTCCGATCCTACTGGGATCTCGAGGTTGCCGCGCGGTCCTTCACCACACGGTTTTCTGTGATTCCCGACGTAGCACCGATCCTGCTCAGGCCGACATTTGGGATCAGGATTTCGGGGTCGGTTGGGGGACTGAGGTGATCAAACCCCTTGCTCCGGCCACCAGGATGGCGTGTTTTGGGTTCGATGAAGTTTGTGTCTTTTTCTGTCTCCAGGGGCCCTTTTCGGTTTCCCTGGGACAGTCAAAAACTGATCAGGGGGCTGAAGTGGGGACCGGCGAAGGGGGGGGAACTGCATCGGCTTTCGCTCGAACATGTGATGGCCCACTCCGCCCAGTAATTTGCGGTTTCGCAGTCGAACGTCCATGTCGGTATTTCGGCGATGTATCGCCGCGGTGGGTCGCATACTTCAGGTCGATGTTTTCCCCCCTGCGCCGGCCCGTCCCCGTGGTCCTCCCTCGTTGGTGGCCACGTTAGAAAAGCGTATACGCTGGGCCTGAGCCCAGGATGAAACTGGCTGGCCGGGATCGGTGTGGGTGTGCGCCCATACCCCCCACGTAACGATTTTTTTGGTAGCGTAGGCTTCCCACTGGTGTGGGCACCCTGCCTTGAACCAGCTTTTCTTCCTGAGTTTTTCCGTTTGCGGCCCCGCGGCCCAGGTAAGCCCGAGAGGCCAATTATTGCCGACGCGGTCGTTCGAACAAAAAAACGCGAAGGGGTTTGGGCAGTTGCCAACGGAGAGGGGGAGGAGGAGGAGGAAGAGGAGGAGGAGGAAAAGGAGGAGGAGGAGGAGGAGGAGGAAGAGGAGGAGGCGGAGGAGGAAGGAGCAGGAGGAGGAGGAGAAGGAGGAGGAGGAGGAGGAGGAGGAGGACGAGGAGGAGGAGGACGAGGAGGAGGAGGAGGAGGAGGAGGAGGGGGAGGAACGAGGAGTTGTTGTTGTCAGTGACGCGAAGGGCGCTGTGCAACCTGGCGCCCTCTTGCAGGCCACCGCGCGAGCGGCACCGCCTCGTCGAGCCCCACGCCGAGGCCAAGGCCCTCGCGCGGGAGACGAACATCGGAAGGCCCAAGGATAATTGATTCAGGCATGTCCCTCGACAAGAGGAAAATCGAAAAACAGTTTAGACAAAAGTAGTCAGGGGACGATGTTCTACTATGCTTGACTATTGTTATGCATTTTCAATCATTATTTTACCCAGCAGTCTGCCTGTAGGAGGACGTGACATGCCCGAGCTAACGCAAGATCTCCAATCCTCCCAATTTGGGCTGAAGCAGACCCAGGCACGCAACGTCCCGAAAACAATATGGACGGTTTTTCCTCCAAACAGGCTGTGATTTTGGGGGCCCTGATGGGACCTCAGGATCGTCAACAAAAGACTCGGAATGAAAAGCCGGCCCTAAGAATTGGGCGGGACTTCCAGAGAGCTCGTACTGTAAAAATCAGGGGATGGATCGCGCCGCATCGCCGAGGAATCGGCGATGCAGCTCGATGTGAGGCTTGATTTTGCCCACGCCGACGGCGCCGATGCATCGGGGCGGCGTTGGGACTTCTCACGACCCCGCCTGCTCGGATCCTACATGCGAGGCGTCGAGGAATCCTTCAGGTTCGTGCGATGCAACAAACAATCGTGACGGCCAGCTTTGAGTCGTGATCGGCATCTGGGGGCCGTCTTATTTCCCCAGGACTCCTTCTCCTCGTCGTCGTCCTCCTCCTCCTCCGGGCCAGGCGGCGAGCAACATGCATGCACGTGCACCGATCTCGACCAGGCCCACCTTTGGGCCCATGAGTCGGTGCGTTCCCTGGCCGGGCGAGGAGGGCGTGTGCACCGGTCCCGGGGCCAGGGAGGAGCCGCCAGGGGCCCAGGATCGACGGGGACCGAACGATTTCGGCAGCGCGCACAGGGGGGGGGTAGGGTGAAGTCGGGCCTGTCCCTCTACAGGGGGAATACTCAAAACTAGTTCAAAAAATAGCCTGGGAAATGTTTTTTCTTCAATGTTTGTTAATTGTCGGAGCATTGTTTGGGGTATTTTTGGTTTTTCGCCCAAGATCCCCCTGCTTGGGGACAGGCCCGACCTAAGGGTAGGAGGAGAGGGGGAGGCTTCTCAGAAGGAGGCCGCTTCTGCGGGCCTCCTCTACAGATACAGGGCCGGCACCCTCTGAGAAGCAGCCAGAATCAGAGCGTGAATTACCTACCCCGCTTTCGCTTCCAGGCAAACCCAAGTCATACCACGCGCCTCCTCGTCAAGCGGCACGACCAGTACGTGCCGTAGTTTGGCATCGCTTGGTATCTCTTGGAAGCGAGGGTGGTCAAAAGCGAGGTAGGTTTGTTTGCCCCCTACAGAAGCCTCCCCCCCTTCCCCCCGCGCGCCGCCAACGATCCGCGCTGATAATCCGATGGCCCCGATCGTTCAAGGCCGATCCTCGACCCTCGAGCCTCTATCCTCCTCCTCCTCCTCCTCCTCCTCCTCCTCCTCCTCCTCCTCCTCCTCCACCTCTATCCTCGACCCTCGACCCTCGAGGCCCCCCCAAAGCAGCGAGGATGTTCTCGAACCTCGAGCCTCGAACCTGATCCGATCGTTCAACGATCCGACGCCCACGTCGCCGCTGCGCGGTCCTGCCGCGGGGGAGCCATTCATCCTGGCGCAGCGTGACGGTGCATGAATTTCGGGGGGGGCTCCGTTCGGGCGAAGAGAATGATGCACGTGCACCGATCCTGGCAAGGCCCGTCCTGGACCCAGGATCGGTGCATATGCCTTCCTGGCCAAGGCAGGAGGGCGTATGCACCGATCATGGGCTCAGGATGGGTCTGGCCAGATTCGGTGCATGTGCATAGTTCTCTTTCCTCTGCCCGTCACGCAGCAGTTTCTTGGGCACTGGCTAGTGCATTGGGTTCCACGCCTGCTCGTGGGCGTCTTCGTCGCCACCGAGATGATTTGGTCGTCCCCTCGAGGTTTTCCTCCCGACCGCAGAAATGTGGTTTCTCAAATCGTCGTTCGCCTTGCAGTCAAGACGCTGGAACGCAGGAGCCCCTGGTTCCCGGAAGGGTCTGGCTGTTCCTCGGTGCTTCCACGGTACTTCCTCTGGCACTCCTCGCGCACCCCGTCGCTCAAGGGGCCGGGAGAGGGCTTCGTCCCTTCTGCAGCTTTCCTTGTTTCGGGTAACCGGTAACCCCACTAAACCAGGTCTGCAGTAGCTGGTGCTTTTCGGGTGACGGCAGTTCCGGTTAGTGGAACGGGACGGGGGGGCCTCCCCCAGTACACATCACTAAACCCAGTTATGCCAACGCCCGATTTTTGGTAGCACGATGACGGCAATCGTCCTCCTATCCAGTTGCGCTGCCGCGCGAATACGCCACCGCGCCCGGGCGGGCGGCGGGAGGGCGCCGGGGGGGGGGGCGGTGGGGGTCGGGGGAGGGGAGGGGCGCGCCTCGGGGGGGGGGCACTGAATTGGGATACCCGCACTCTCGTGTTTAGTCACATTCTGTTTGGTCGGAAGTCGACGTTTGCAAAAGCAGTGACCTGGTGGAACAAAAGAGTGGATGTTGGGTTCGATGCGTTGGGGGCCTCAACTGTTGCTTCACAGGAAGCGGAGTAGCCAAACAGAACACGCTTGACACACATTGCTTTGTCAGCGGCTGGTTATTCCAGCCCGGCGCGTTCCAGGGTGGGACGCGCAGATCAATTACCACCAGACGTTGCAGGGGGAATGGGCAGGACGTGGTTGACGCATGCAGTGGTGCAAAAGGGGACCAGAGCCAGCGCACGTGAAACATAACGAAGCCATGCAGAGCGGTGCGTGCAAGCCGATACACACACACACACTTCTTTTTTAATCTGCGGCTGCTTGGTTCAACTCAGTGAGGGTATTAGCGGATTACGCTAAGTTGATTCCACCAAGCGACGCTTGCAGCCCGCATCCGACACACACACACACCGACACACACACACACACACACGCACACACGCACACACACACACACACACGCACCCGCACACGCACACGCACACGCACACGCACACACACACACACGCACACGCACACGCACACACACACGCACACGCACACGCACACGTACACACGCACACGCACACGCACACGCACACGCACACGCACACGCACGCACGCACGCACGCACGCACGCACGCACGCACGCACGCACGCACGCACGCACGCACGCACGCACGCACGCACGCACGCACGCACGCACGCACGCACGCACGCACGCACGCACGCACGCACGCACGCACGCACGCACGCACGCGCACGCACGCACGCACGCACGCACGCACGCACGCACGCACGCACGCACGCACCCACGCACGCACGCACGCACACACGCACACACGCACACACGCACACGCACACGCACACGCACACGCACACGCACACGCACACGCACACGCACACACACACACCAACCGCTGCAAGCGCAGTGGCGGAGGCCATACAGGGTCCACTTCGATCCGATCCGACTCGATATCGGCTCTGGCCAGCCAGATTCGAGTCGATTCCGATGTTCGGGGGATTCGACGAGGCGCGTTGCTTGCATGGCGCTGTTCTGCATCCTGGCGCCGCCGAATCTCATCGATTCCGACTCCGAGCCGCTGACCCGCGCCTTCTAAGAAGCAGGGGTGCTTCTGAGAAGCCTTCCCCCCTCTCCCTGCCCCCCTCGGCGCGCCGCCGGGTCCCCCCTGCCCCCCCCGCAGGCCGACGCCGTGGGCACGTGGAGCAGCTTCGTCTGACGCCCCGGGGGCGGCTGGGACGGCTTGTGAGCCGCCGGCGGCGAGCCCCTCCGCGGCGTTTGTCAGGAGGGGAAAATAGCACACAGACGCAACTCATCGACGACTCCCAAGTAAAGATGGGAAAATACGGGACGTGGGCGGATTAAGCGAAACCCCAGAGAATATGGGAAAATATATGGAGTCCTGGGATTTGTGTCGATCTATTTGTCCATCCCTTTCAAACTGCCGTTCGCCCCGTGAGCCAACCCAGACCCCCGAGAGTCTTTATTGTCAGAGTGCGGGGGCCCGAGCGGTCTTACTTTCTCCTCTTGCGCGTGGCCGGAGTGGAGGTCGGCTTCTGGGGGCGACGTTTGGGAGCGCCTGGCGCCGCCCTCCCACTCTTCTCCGCAAGGGCGGAGTGCTACGCTATTCTCTTATCTTCGAAGCACGACGCACTGCATAACCAATACAATGTTCGGAGGTTCGCGCGGATTTCTTGGATCGGCGCTGGGCGGCGCCTGAGGCGCCGCCTGGGCGGCCCAGCGCACATCCAAGAAATCCGCTCGGACCTCTGACTGTCAGGAGGGAATCAGAAACACACGCAAAGCATCGTCGACCCCCAGGAAAATATGGAAAGTATATGGGAAGTGGAGGGCCCATTCGATTCCGTATCGAGAATGGACGCCCCCCTAGCAAATGTAGGAGGTCGGCCATTTTCTTGCCGGTTGGAAATCCCTCAATTTCGTGGCTTGGAGTCGCAGTAGCCCCTTGTTGGAAGGATCACGGCGTCGGGGGTCTAGGTCAGGGGCAACGTTTGGGGGGGGAAAGTCTCAGGTGGGGAACGCATAGGGGTAGCCCGCCCAGGAACGGGCGGATTCGCTAGCTATTGGGGACTTCTCGCAGATCTTTCGGCGATGTATCGCCGACTCCAGGTCGGTTTTGTCCCCCCTAAGCCGTTCCCCCCTTCTCTCTAGACATGAAACTGTCTTATCCTGACACAGATGTGGCGTTATCTTGCCGACGCCGATCTTGGTCATGGTCAATGCTGGTCGTCTCCGATTTGCGAGGACGATCCACGCGACAGTGCCCAAGATGGACGAGGCCCAGGTCGATACCGACGCCTCTGGGCTCAAGATCTGTCGGAGACGTCGTTTTCTCTGTCTCCACTCGCAGACATGCGATGCCCTGATCTTGCCAACACGCGGCCCCCAGAAGTCCCGACGCGACACATTTCCCCAGGGCCGGTGCTTCTCCCCGAGTCGTGTTTCGACAGTCCCGGGGCCTGTTGAGGGCCCCCCAGCAGAGGTTCGGATGCAACTCCTGGGAGGTCAAATTCTGTTTTCGCCCTGGTCCGAAATCCGGCTTAATCCCGCTTAATCCCGCTTAATCCGGCTTAATCCCGCTTAATCCCGCTTAATCCGGCTGAACCTGTTTACTCCGAGGCCCACTCCGGCGTAACAGCTTCCAAATGGGGCTTAATCCTCCTTAGTCTTTCCGACGAAAACCTCCCAGTAGTTGCCTCTTAGCAGAGGCCGAGAATGGAGGGGAAAATGGTAGTCCTTATTTCTCCAGGACGGCGCGCTTCTCGGAGGCAGGAGAGAAGACACCACCACCGCCTGGGCGGGCACCTCCGCCGAGGAGGTCCACGATGCCTTCCCGAGATGAGGGTAGGACATGTCTCGAGCGCAAGGGGGGCACCGCGTCATCAGGAGGGACCCCCCTGGCTCCTGCTGGTGGTCCCTGGTGGTGATGGTGGCGCTGTTTCTTGTTCCTCGTGTCTGGGCTGTCGCTCCCCCGCAGGCAGGGGCGCCCCGATGTCTCACCGCCGGCCCGCACGGCTTGGCCGCACGGCCAGGCGGCCGAGGGATCCGCCACCGGTGGGCTTCCGGGCGCGCCGCTGTGCGGGCCGCTGTACTTCTAAGCAGCGCCGCCCGGCGGGCCTCCCTCCGGGGGCCACGTGAGTCAGCGGAGGAAAAGGTGCCGCTGCCGCGGCCCTCCTCTCGTTGTCGCCGGCTTCTTTCAGGAGGGGAAGAAACACTCAGACACAATTCATCGTCGATCCCCAGGAAAAGATATGCAAAAATATGGGAAGTGGGGGGAAGACAGAACCCCCAGAAGATATGGGAAGATTCGGGGGAGCGTAAGACCCGGGTTTGCCGGGACTCGGGTTCGCCATCGTTTTTTGACGACCGCGACTTGGATTTTGACGAGGAGGAGTTTCGTGGGATGTCTGCAGCGGGAGGCCTCGTCAAAATGCAGGCTCGGCCTCGTCATTTTTTTGACGACCTCGTCGGGGATTTCCGAGTCCCCCGTACCCAGGTCTTACGTCCCCCTGACAGGAGGCACCCCGGGGAGAGGCCTGGGGAGCAGCGTCGGCGGTGCTCTACACCCTAGGCGATGCTTAAGAAAACCTAAGTTTTCGTCCAGAGTCTCGATTATTCTTAACTTTTCAGTGTAAATCCCAAGAGGTTGATAGAAGTTCTGGGTCTCATTCCATTTCTGAGACGATGAATTTCTTAACCCATGATTTCTTAAGCATTTCGCATGGTGTACAGTTCCCCAGGCCAGGGCTCGGCATCGCTCGGACGTGCGTATGTTTCCTCGGCGGGGATTCTTAAGGAGCATCCCGGGTCACTCTGCGAAAAAAAAACACGCGCGAAACCGAACAAAAAACCACAGGGAATGGACGTCCGAGCGATGGCCAGAGGGGGGGTGTAGGCTCCGGGAGGGAGGGAGGCCTCGGCCCCCCAATCGGCCACTGGTCGCCGAGCCCAGAAGGGGCCCGGCAGCCCACCCCGCCCAGGAGCGTGCGAGTTCGCCGTCGCGGGTCGAACCCCGATCTATCGGCGATGTGTCGTCGAGTTCAGGTCGATGGTCCCTTCCCCCCCCCCCCTGAGCCGACGCCCCCCCCCCCCTGTCCCCCCTCTCTTGCCCCTCTCTCTTGCCCATCTCTCTTGCCCCTCCTCCGCCGCGTCCCTCTCGCACGCGATGCCCGTCCAGGCCTCCGTAGGTAACCCAAACTGGGTCCGAGTGGATTCGAGTAGGTCCGTAGGCCTCCCAAACTTGGTGATGTGACGCCAGGGTGTAGTTTGCGCCGCACCGTTAGGGCTTCGGGTTCACTCGGCCACTCACAGAGATGGGTAGCGGGAGGGGGGAGGGCGTCTTAGAAGCACCCCTGTTTCTTAGAAGGCGCGGGCCAAGGCCGGCGCCTTGAGAAAAGCAGCCTCTTCGAAGAAGCCTTCCCTTTCCCCCTACCCCCTTTTGCGCGCCGCCAATTCACCACTTTGTGCCAAAGGTTCGATGAGCCCTCGTCGGGGCGCGGGCCGCTCGGTGGGCCTCCGCCCGGCTGCGAAACCTACAGGCTGCATGTCGACCAGGAGGGCGGCCAGGAGAGTAGGAGCCCTATGTGCAGCAGGGCACGTTCGCGTGGAGTTGCTGGACGACAAAGCCAATGCCGCCGACTGGTACCCGACGGTGCCAGTGAAGGAGATCCTGATATGGATCAGGGGCGAGCCCTGCGTGGGTCAGGGCCTCAAAATGCTCTCGACCGGCGTGGCGGCGGAGGAGCGAGAGACGCTTGAGAGCATCATGGAGGCCGAGGCCGCGGAGTACTATGATGGCCGATGGCATCACGGGCGCGAAGCTCGACGTAGAGGCCGTGAGAAAGGGGCGCCAAGGGGAAATGAACTACACGCAGAGGCTGGGCGTCTCCGTGCGGGTCCTGATCTCGAAGTGTTACGTGGTGGCGGGCAAGAAGCCGCTGCCCAGCGGCTGGGGGACACGAACAAGGCGACTCGGACAGGCCGGGGATCAGACGTAGGCTGGTCGCCAAGGAATCGGAGTGGCTATCCGTACAGCCGTTTGCGGCGACCCCTCTGCTGGAGGGTCTCGGGCTGCTGTTCAGCCTGACGTTGAGCAGTCAATCGAGCAGGACGCGGATGTTCATACCATCAGCTGGGCGCAATTGCACTCTGACTTGAGTCGGGAGGCTCTCTGGGATGTGCCGCAGGAGGATCCGAAGTGCGAATTTGGGTGGTGCCGGTTTCTCAAGACGGCGATGTACGGACTCAAGGATGCTGGAGCCGCCTTCGACATGTAGGTGCAGCAGACCATGATGGAATTCGGAGCGATGCAAAGGGAGTTCAGCATACCGGAAGGGCTCTCTTGTAGTATTGCGGCATGATTACGACTTCGCTGCGCTGGGAGACCACAGGGAGCCCAAGGAGCTCTCACGGCAAATGGGCGACAAGCTGATTGTAAAGTTACAGGCGTACTGGGACCTGAGCCGTGGAAAGGGGAACTTAGAAGCCATCGTGGTGCCCAAACTGAACGTTAGCTGGCGAAGAAACGACGGGGTCCAGCAGGGACACTTCGAGTAGGAGGGCGACCCTAGACATGTGGAGATCGTCCTGCACCAGTTCGGTCATCAAGGTAACGGAGCAAAACACTGTCAAATTCATGAGTCATGTGTCAAAGGATACGACTATGGAGGGCCAGCTCTAGTGCACAGAGACAGTTGCATGAGGAAAGCTTGCCTTGGCCAAGACCGACCACACATCCAGCATGCGAGCAAGGAGGCCTCCCAAGCGATGCAAAACCACACATAGGGAGGTTGATCGACGCTCAAACGATTAGGACGCGATCGAATACGCCTACCGCAAATCACCGCCGCCCCCTGCCTTTTGGAATCTCCCATGTGGCCAAGCGTTGCGATAAGAGCTCTACCATGTATCGGACCATGTGTTTCTCCAGCCGTTGTAGAAACCCTTCGGGGAACACTCGGGGGAAGATTGCGAGGAAGATCAGGATGAGGGAGAGGAGGAGGAGGAGGAGGAGGAGGAGGAGGAGGAGGAGGAAGAGGAGGAAGAAGAAAAGGAGGAGGAGGAGGAGGAGGAGGAGGAGGAGGAGGAGGTGGAGGAGGAGGAGGAGGAGGAGGACGAGGGGACATCTTGGGAGCCTCAGGGGGTACTCTGGGGGCCTCCTGGGAGTTTCCTGGGAGCCTTTCGGCGGCCACTTTGGGGCGTCCTTGGGCCCCTTGGGGGCCCTCGCGGGCTTCTCGGGGGCCTTCGTGGCCGTCCTAGGGCATGTCTGTCCGTCTGACGCCGTCGGAAGCCGTCTTGGGGGCCTCTCCGGGCCGAATTGGGATACACCTTAGGCGATGCTTAAGAAAACCTAATTTTTTGGCCAGAGTCTTGATTATTCTTAATCTTTCAATGTAAATCCTAAGATTTGAATGGAAAGATTGGGTTTTTACTCAAGTTCTGAGACTATGAATTTCTTAACCCATGATTTCTTAAGCATCTCGCAGGGTGTACCCTTGGGGTGTTCCAGCGCCGTGTTGGAGTCCATTTAGGGCGTCTTGGACGCCTTTTGGCCCGTCTTGGGGCCTTTTGGGGCCGCTTCGGGGGCCAATTGGGCCGTTTCCAGGCCATCTCAGAAGCATCTTGGGCGATTTTGGCCAGATCTGCGGGGGCTCTCGGGCCGGCTCGTCGGAAGGCAGAGAACAAGAAAATGCCCCAAATTCCTTTAAAACACCTGGGGCAAATCAATGATTTTGGCCGCTTTGGACCTTCGTGGGGGCCCTTTCGGCCGTTCTGGAGAGCTCTTGGTGGCTGTTCGGGCCGTCCTGGGCCATCTTAGAATTCCCATGGGGCTTTGGGCGGCCTCTTGGGGTCTCCTGGGCGCCTCTTGGGGCCTCCTGGGGGCCTCTTGCGGCGGAAAGATCGGATTTTCGATTTGCGTTCCCGCCCCAGGGTGCGCGTGGTAAATCCTTGAACACTTCAGGAGAGAGGATTGAGGCTTAGAGGACCAGGCAAAGGACCAGAGGACACGCCCACTGCGTGCCCAGAGGCACGGTGGCGGATTTGGCAGGAGTTCCCAGGCATGGTGGCGCCGCATGTGAAACAGCCACCGCAGTCTGCACTGAAGGTCTGGACGGGCAGCGACTTTACTGGGCGCGCATCCGCCAGCAAATCTACATCAGGTGCCACGGTGGCATTTGGAAGCAAGTGGATATGATCGTCGAGTGCGACGCAGCAGCTCCAGGTGCTGAGCACGGGCGAGAGCGAGTTCCACGCGCGGGTGAAAGGAGGTTCGATGGGTTTAGGCTTCGAGACTCTCCTTGCCGACTACGGCGTCGAGGGCGCGCAAGTGGCGTTGTATTGCGACGCTGCTGTTCGGGAAAGTCCGGCAGGGCACAGGAATCGGGCGAGTTCTGCACCTACATGCCTTTCCTGTTTTGGCTCCAGAGGGTAGTTCTGGAAATACGGCTGCACATTCGCAAAGTCGATGGTAAAATCAACGTGGCGGACATGGGCGCGAAGCATGTCGCGGCCACCCAGATCGCGAGTTTCCTGGTGACCCTGGCATTCGAGATTCGCGGAGGTCGGGGTTGTCTGGCGCTACGAGCCGCACTGGGGGCCGGAATGCGATGTGATGTGGATTGTCTCGCCCCGCTACTGAAAGAAGATGGAGTTGAGGGCGAAACCGGTGTTTCTGCGCGCTTGTGTCAATTCGGTTTTGCGCAGCTTGGTGTTGTTCCTCTTGTCTCGAGCCGGTCGAAGGCGACAGCAAGAGCGACCAAGGGGCTACCATGTGTTTGATGATGTTGGTGGCCAGATCGGGCTGCTATGCGTGTTGATGATGTTTGGTGAGGCTCCTATATGTTTGATGATGATAGTTCTTAAACGGAAGTGCTGCTTGAATATGCAACATCGCTGGCGCTTCGGCTTAAGATGCCAACTTCTGGCCGTGGCGAAAATTACTTCGAAGGTAGGACCCCACACGAGAATATGTATGGTTTGTCCTTCGCCTCTTCCTCCTCGCCATGGCGGACACCCTCCTCTCCCCTTCTGTTCTGTCCTCTCCCCATATTGCTCCTTCTACTTATATTCCTCCTCCTTTTTGTTTGTCTCCTCCTCCTCCTCCTTCACCTTCTCTCCTCATCATCACCTTCCCCTACTCCTTCCCCTTTCCGCATCCTTCGCCTGCATTCTGTCCATGTGCACCTCCCCTTTCTTGTTCGGGGCAAGCAGGTCGATGTTCCTCGGCGCCGTCGCCGCCACAGCCAGCGCGCGCGCGTTCGCCGACGGCTACATCGCCAAGCCTTTGGACAATCCTGCGGGCCATGTCGCTGCGACAACCCCGAGGGCCGCTGGGGCGCGGGGGCACGCCGTCGGGAAACCCCCGCGGGCCAGGCCGTTGGGACAACCTCGCCGGCCTCGAGGTGGGCGCGGCCGCGCTCTGGCGGGGGGCAGCGCGAAACGCTCCGCCTCGGTCCTGGAGCTTTCCGCTATCCCATCGAGTTTCCGGAACGCTTTCCGCATGGACGCCGGCGGCCCGCGTTCCAGGAACTCCCGCGCGGGCGGCCGCAGGATCAGCGCGTTCCGCACGCGCGTGGCGCGGGATAACATGACGCAGAAGTGCAGCCACCGGTGCTCGTCCGACATGCCCGTGCGACCAACGTCCTCAGCCTTGGCGCACATGATGGCGACACCCTTGTGCAGATTCTGGCCTTGCGTCAACGTTGAGGTCAGCCCTGGGTTACCACCGCCAGCCCAGACGTTCCCCCTGCGCCCGCCTCGGCCGATGATGAGTCACCACCCTCGGCCCGGACGCAAGGGTGCCCCTCTGCGTGCGGCCGCCGTCGTCCTCCTCACTTCACTTATTGTTTTCCCTCTGCTTCCTCATCCGATTGGTCGAACGAGTGGCCTTTTCAAGAACACAAAAGTGACCCCGTTCGGATTGGCCCGCGAAGGTTCGCATCACCCGTCGATTTCGAGGAACCCATCAGTCGCGACAGCTACGCGATCCCGAAGCGTCGTTCGGGTTCTAACATGGACTTGCGGGCCCCATGGCGACGGGGTTCCCGCTCGAGCCTTCCTCGCAATTCGCTCACAGACGAGGTTCCCGCCTGAGACTTCTTCAGGATTCACTGTCCAGGGAACCCAAACTTGGCGACGGGTCTAGGTTACGCGTGACCCGTTCGGATTACGAATGCGCAGTGCGAGCCCCGTAATTACGGAGGGGGCTCCCGCATGAGACCCCATTCCGCAATTCAGGCACACATGGGGTTCCCTAGTAAGGGTTTTTCGAGATTCAGGCGCGAGGGACCGAAAGAGACGACACTTGCTTGATTTGGATGACCCGCTCGGATTACCAACGTGCAGCGAGGGCTCCACAGGGAAGGGGTTCCCGGTGAGGCCCCCGTCGAACATTATGTACAAACGAAGCTCCCGACTGAGCTGTTTTCGACATTCAGGCGCGGGGGGCCCAAACATGACGACATGCAAGATTTGGGTGGCCCGCTCCGATTGCCAATCTGGCGCGCAAGTCCTTTTTTTTCAGGAGGGGGCACCCGCCCAAGATTTCTTCGCAATTCACTCATAGACGAAGCTCCCGCAGGATACTTCCTCCACGTTCAGGTCCAGGAGCCGAGAAGTCACGACAGTTATAGGTTTCCGATGACCCGTTCGGGTTGTGAATTTGACTTGTGGGCCCCATAGAGATTGGGGCCCTTGCTTGAGACTTCCTCACAATTCACTCACAGACGAGGCTCCCGCTCTAGACTTCCTCAAGATTAATTCATGGGCACGTGAGTGCGTGAGTGTGCTTGTGTGTGGGTGTTAACGAAAGTGGGAGTGATGTCAATGATGATGGTGATGGATATGTGTCGGTGAGTGAGTGAAGGACTGGGTGATGATGAAGATGTTGCTGATGATGATGCTGCTGATGATATATAGTATGATAATGATGGTGATGATGATGGTGATGATGATGACGATGATGATGATTGTGATGATGATTTTGATGGTGATGAGTTTGAATGTTTGAGTATGTGAGAGTGTGAGAGTGAGAAACAAAAAGAGGGGGTGATGATAACAACAATGATGATGCTGATGATGATGATGATGATGATGATGATGATGATGATGATGATGATGATGATGATCATCATGGTGGTCATGCTGCTGTTGATGCCGATGATAATGATGCTGCTGATGATGATGTGGATGTGGATGTGGATGTGGATGTGGGTGGGCTCATGTTCCTGTTCCTGCGCGTGGTGTTCGTAGAAGATAACCCCACGTAGGATGTGGGAAGACAATCACTCATGCCTCCCTCGCCAGCCCCTCTTCCCCTTCCCTCCGCATCCTTTTCTCTTTTTATCCCGCCCACTTTACGCCATTCATCCTTGTGCCTCTCTCCTCAATCCTCCATCCTGCTTCTCTCGTAGGCACAGGCCGGAGATGACACCAGCAGAGACGGACTAGCCCGCAGGGTGCAATAAACGAGGGCAGACTGGGTGAAGTGGATGTTCGTTGCGGGAACCTTCTTGAGGGCTACCAAACGGATATGTTTCGAATCTAGTTTGATTCGAGTTTGAGTGATCTTCGCTTCGAGCCGACGGACGTTCGACGCAGCATCGACGCATGACTGGAGCGAAGGGCTCCGGGAAGGCCCCTGAGACGAACATCAAAGGTGGATGCCGGAAGGGGGGGCAGGATGAGGAGGCGGGGGAGGAGGAAGAAGAGCTGGAGGACAACGAGCGGGCTGATTGAGAAAACGCCGTTCCCGGCCGACCACATCGAAGCCATGATTTGCCCCTCCCGCCCCCTTCGGGTCGGGAGTAGTGCACATGAGGAAATGGAGGAGGAAGAGGAGGAGGAGGGCCAGATTGATGCCAGGAGGTTTGAGGAAGGGGAGGAAGTAAGAGATAGTGATACACGCTACAAAAAGAGCGAATCAATTGGAAGAGCAGTGGAAGATGGCGTCTCGCACGGGGGGCTGGGGGCGGCCATCTAAGAAGGCTCTTGCAAGGTTTCTGAGAAGGTATGTCGCTTTTCAAATGCCCATTTGGCTTCTGATAATCTTTCTTGGACCCCACCGGCCCTTGCCTTATAGGATGCTTGCCGCCTTCATAGAAGGCCACCCCGCTGCGCATCCTTTTTTGGGGCGCGCCACCAACGCAGGAGATGGGACCAGGGGCGGAGTTCTGGGGGTTGGCACGGAGGTCGCGGGAGGCCTTCACAGGAGACCCCTGGAGGTCCCAGGACCAACCCAGAGGCCTCCAGATGCCCGAAGAGGGCCAACAGCGTCCAGACCCATCCATCCCTCCTCCTCCTCCCCATTATCATGCTCCATCCTGCATCTTTCTTCCTCCCCCCACATCTGCCACCTTTCCCCATCTGCCAGTCAAGTTAGATTAAGAGACCAGCGAGCAGACCATGTGGGCGAGGGCTCCCATCGAGCCAGATCAAGTCAGTACGATTCCGTTGCCTGGCTGTGGGCGTTTTCCGCCCGTGGCCACGTGGGCCAGGGCTGGCGAGCTCATCCAGGCCAGTACTGATTCGCAGTCTCTCTCAGTGGCATGGGATGCTGTGCTATGCGGGCTGGAGCATGAGCTGCTTGATTGGCCTGACCTGGTGCATCCCCGCAAGCGGCGCAGATAACAAGCCAGAGCAGGGCCTGCGGAGCGGGTCTGGAAACGGATTGAAGAGTTCCCACCTCCAGAGCCCAAGCGGATGCAGGCATACAAGACCTTTGGCAGATGGATGAGACACATGCGCTCGCGCTACACAGAGATGCTCACCTGTGTCGAACGTGCTGGCCAGTTGGGCCCCGATCCACCGGGAGTCTATCCGGCTAGTCTCCTTCCTAATCTTTTTGTTGGTCTTGGCCTTCACGACAATTGTGATGAGGATCGTGCAGGGCTTCTTCGCCAGAGTTTCGAGTGCCAGGTGGGTTTACGAGCTGCTGGATGCCGATGAGCAGGCCTTGATCTCTGATGTTGCCGACAGATTCTATGCCACCGATTTTCCGATTTCCTCGACCAGGCAGACCGTGCGATTGAGAAGGTTGAGACTGTTACGCGTGCCATCGAGGCCTGTTGCGGCTCTAGACTGGGCCAAGTGGGCACAACAGGATTTCTTGACAGTAGCCAAGCGAGCGCACAAGATTCCAAGGTCCGAGCTTTGCAGGAGGCCCTGGACTACACCAAGGGCTCCCCCGAGGGCGCGAAGTTATTCGCGCTTCGCGCTTCGCGGTCCTCGTTCCTTCTCCCCCTCCTCCTCGTCCTCCTATTCTCCCTTTGGGAGGGCGGCGCGAGAGCGCGAAGTTATTCGCGCTTCGCGCAGCGCGAAGCGCGAAGTTGGGAGCCCAAGTCGATTGGCAGGACGTGGCCGGACCTCCCCAAGATCACTGGCCAGCACGTCCGCTGCGTGCTTCGCAAGCTCAAGATGCACACCGCCCTGGGGCAGGTCACCGTCCAGCCGCGGGCTCTGGGCGCTGCCTCGGGCCTCGCCACGTGCAGGGTGGCGGATGTGCGGATGAAGTGTGAGGAGCCATGCTGCTGGCCAGGTGACCGACTATCGGAGCTGGACAGAACCCCCAACAGTGACACGTCGATTAGTGAATTGTCCGTTTTCGGTTCTCGAGAGGGCGCCGTGGCCGTCATTTTCCAGGCTTGCGCCCGCCAGGTTTGGGCCTCAGGTCGTTTTCATTAAACCACGTTTTGCTAGAGTGGGGTCTGTCCATCCCCGAGACTACCAACAGGGTTGGTGAGATTGGCCAAACCAGGTGGAGGTCATGGGCTCCTTGCTTCGATCAATGCCGCAGGCAGAGTTTGGAGCAGGATTCGCAGGCCGCTTTCCAAGCGCCGGGAGCTCGACCATCCGTGCGACGCTTTCTGGGGCTCGAGGCCTGTTGCCACCCATGCAGCCTTCCAGCGCAACCTTGACTCGGAACTGGCCAGGCTCCAGGGGCACTCGTCCATAAGCGTGCTCATAGATCTGTACAAGTATTTCGAGACCATTGAGTTGGCTCGTCTTCTCGAGCATGCGCGTGTTGAAGGGTTCCCGCTACGACTGATATGGCTCGTGCTGTCTTCTTATCAGGCACCTAAGGTCATCAAGGCCTACGGGTCGGCCATCGAGCAGTACAGGTCCTGCCAACATATATGGGTTGGCTGTTCGCATGCGTGTGCTATTGTGCACCTGTTGCTTTGGCGAGTTTTCCTTCGGATGCGTACAAACTGCGAGGAGGTTATGCTTAGGGACTTGATGGACGATGCGAGCTCCCAGCGGGCTGGGCCTGATCCAGCACAGGTTTCGTAGCTGTTCAGTGCATGCAAGTGGTTCATCCATGAGGCTTTTGCTTACGGATTGGTGATCCAGCCGGGCAAAAGCGGACGTTTTCCGAGTTCCCGTGCAGCCAAAAGGACAGTTGGCAATCTGGTGGCGCAGTTGAAGTTGAGATGTTATCTTGAAATGAGGAACCTTGGTAATGAGATTGCTGACGCGAAGCTCAGGAGGCCGCAGGAAGGGAAACAGCCGGCATCTCTCCACGCGCGCAAGCACAAGCTCATGCCCTTGATCAGAGGCTCTAGCGGCGAGGTGCGCGTTCTCTGGAGAGCTGCGTTGTTGCTTTCCGTTGCGCATGGTGCAGGTACGAGTTGGGGTGTGGATTCTACGTACGTTCGCCAAGTTGAGAACCATGGCTTGGCTCTGGCCGGAATTCGCGCGCATGCGGGTGTCACGGCATGGCTATGCATTCGATCTGATGAATAGTTATTAGAACCCGATTTTCGATCGGATTGGCTTGTCGGTGCGCTGGGATACTCTAGAACAACATTGGGCCCATGGTCCTACATAGTGGCTGGACTCAACTGCTCGATGTCTTCTAAGACGGCCTAACTTGGGGCCAGGTGCCATTGGCCGATGGACGCTGTCATCTTTCCTTGCGCCGGATTGAATGGAGCATGCGTGCTGCGCGCGCGCCGATCACGGACGTCGGCAAGAACATCAATGTGTTTACCACCTTGCCTGAAGATGTCCGTGCACTGCTGCGAAACAAAAACCTGGGGCGTTAGCAGATGCGCTGGCGTACTGCTGGCATCCAGGGGCCGCAGGTCTCGATGCATTGCGGTGATCTTGGCGGCGCAGCATCGTGTCCAGTGGCGACCTAACTCGGAGAGGCTGCGCCTTATGTCTCCTAGGATGTGCGCCCTGGCCCCCCAGAGCGTAAGAAAGCGCTCGGGCATTATAATTCTGAGGCCTGCGAGCCGTGCAAATCTTGAGCGAGTGGATGGAAAGCTAGGTCGCCCGTTTTAGGAGCGCCCCCCCCCCCCCCCCCGAGCCTCCGGAGGGCCCCGACATTGATCAGATGCCTCCTGCGGCCCTGAGCGTAGGGAGTACCTTGAGGGACACTGGGCGCATGCGAGTCTGGGCGCAAGTGAGTCTGGGCTTGGTCTTCCTGAGTGTGACACTCCTGAGTTTTCCTTGTGGATGCCTGTCCGTCCCATCAGGCCGCCGCCCGAGGGCCCGCCCTGCCCTGCGCCCACCTGGGGAGCTACTTGTCGCCTGCCCTGGGGACGACGTGTCTACGCTGACGGTTCGGGGCTTGCTAACGCCAGCCCCGAGCTGCGCGGGTGTGGATGGGCCGTGGTCGTGCTCGGCCCCTCTTGGCTTTTTCTGCGGGCCTCCTACGGGTCTGTTTCTGGGCGCGGCGCCAGTCGGCACCCCGTTCGGATCGTTGCGCGGGTTCGCTTGCTACGAAGCTAGCTCCGCAGCTCTGGACGGGTTGCAGTGACCACCTTGCCCTTTTGTCCAGGATTGCCAGGCTGAGGGGCCCAGCCAGGCCTCTGTTTGAGGCTAGCATGCGGATGCGTGGAAGCAGATTTCCCACTTGTCCAGCTCTCACAGCAGGTGCCCTCCTGAGTTTGCCTAGGCTAAGGCCCTCCGCGAACTCGAGGATGTGTTCCAGGACGCGCCTGACTTCACATTTGATGTTCCGGGCAAGAAAAGAAAATGTTGGCAAAGACGAAGGCCCTCACGATGACCGCGCTTGAAGGAAGTCCCAAACAGAGTGACTTGGGGCTGAAAGGAAGACAGGGTTAGAAGCCCCGCCAGCGCAAACACAGATGTGACGAGCACCGCCGTACTTCATACCCACACTTGTGATCGAAAACAATCAAATGCCAACAACACCGCACCTGTAACCCAAGACCGTGGTCAGAGTTCCCCGTCAGCACAATAAGCACGTGAAAAGCACCCCCGTACCCGTGAATATACAGAGTGCCTGTGCGGTAGGAGGCCCCAGGCAACCTTTGAGCCGATTTATTCGCATGTCCCCGGGCGCAGCATAGCCAAGGTGCCCCGCTGGTCGCTGATGCCCAAAATGGTCATTTGAAGGAGAATCAGATGACCCGGGATGTTATGTCACGTGCTGTCCAGACTGTAAGTGCCTTGGCTGGTTGCATAGACCACCCTGAACCGCCTGCTGGTGAGAAGCTTGTCGCTCCGATGATTGCGGTCGCCGGGCATGTCTAGCATTTATCTTCCAGCCGGAATGAACGGTGGTGCTGCCTCGGCCGTCACGGCGCCAATGTTGGAGGGGCCTCGAAGCGGTGCTGCCAAACATTGTCAGCCGACCTCCATCCAGCGTTGGCGAGAACAGTTCTTTGTCGAGAATTCTGCTGAAGGGGTGGCCGATTCCTCCCCTGGGGTGCCCGCGGCCCCGGCCCTTGCCGATGAGGTCCTGGGGCCTAGGCTTTCCTCCTCCTCTGGGCCTCCTGCTCTCGCTCCCGAGCCTCCTCAAAGGCCTCGCCCAGACCCCAGCGACGGTCTTTTCGGAGCTAGGCCACAAACCCCACCAGATTGGACGGGTCATCATCTGCCAGCTGCGTGCGTGTTTCGTCATTGTGCCTCGTGGGCGCTCTGCAGGGGTTTCGCTGCTCGCTGCCGTGGGCCACCTGGGCAAGAGGCTGGGCGCTCGGCGCACGCGTCTCTTCCAAAATGCTGCTCGTGGCGGACACCCGAAGACGGGTGATGTGCTGCCCCAGCCTGTGCGGCCCCTGCCTCCAGCGTTGCGCAGCCAGCGGCTGGAGGGGGCCGAGACCGTCGACCTTGTCGCCGCGCGGCGGGTGGTCGCTGCCTTGCGCCTCGGGGGTGCTGCCTCTCGTTCGGGGAGTGGGGTGGCGAGTGCGTTTCACGGTGGGGGGCGGCTCGGCGGAAGGGTCCGATTGACGGCTGCAGATCGCTTTACGCAGCTGCCCCGTGCTGTCATGGCAGTTCCGCGGCGCTCGTGCCCAACCATTGGGCGCGAACGCCGCCTGTCAGGCCCGGCGCCCGCTGCTGCGGGCGTCAGGTGTACAGCGTCGCCTGCACTGTACCCTCGGGAGGTGCGGGCGGCGTAAAAGGCTGGCCGTCCTCGGGAGGACGCCTATTCTGCCGGGTGGGTTTGCACGTCTCCGTCCATCCACCTGCTGTTTCCCCTTTTGTAGCTTCGCGCCAGTCCTTGACCCGCGCTTGCGTCAGCTCGCTCGCACGTTCTTCCCCTCACATCCTGCATCCCTTTCTCTTTCCTCCTCCCGCGGCGACGCAGCTGCACAGCCTGGAGGCTCCGGATTGCAGGCCGGCCTGGTCCCCTGCGCAGCATGGGCTTGCATCCGAATCCACCGCAGAGGCGCTGTTTGCGATGTTCGGCCCTTTCGTGGCCAGCCAGTCGGCACCGCCTCCATCGCACTTAGCCGCATCCTTTCTCCTCCACCTCCTGCCTCCTCGCCCTCCTGTGGTTTTTTGCTGTGCCTCGAAGGGGAGGGGGGGCAGGAGTGGGAGGAGGAATCCTCCCTCCGCGTGGAAGTGGGCCAAGGGGAGGGACCACGACAAGGCCGGGGACGTGCAGGCCGTCGACAATGCGGCCGAGGAGCCGGTCGAGGCCGGCCCCTCTCTCCGGTCTCGTCGCGCGCCGGAACAGGAAGGAGATATCGAGGGTCGAGGTCTGTCGGGCGAGTCGAGAGGCCGTTTTGATGCCTCCATCAGGGCAAACGTGAGAGGACTCCAGACTCAAAGGGGGAGGATGCACCGATGAGGAGAAGGAGGAGGGGGAGGAGAAGGAGGAGGAGCTCGCGAGTCTGTCAACGATGTGTGGCGGATCGCGGATGCGAGCTCGAGTCCCTCTACAGGAGAAGGGGGCATTTTTCTATTATGTTTTGGAGTATGTTGATTATGTTTCGACGATTGTTTTGGCATTATTCGATTATGTTTGCATATGCTTTTTGTTTTTCGTCCAAAATCTGCCTGTAGGGGGATAACCGACTACCCCGGATAAAAATGTATCCCCCCTTTCCCCCCTCTATTATTTTATCCCGGTTCAATCGGATTTAATTGTGGAGAGGGGCGCGGAGGACGAATATGATAATCCACGGGGGAAGTTGCGAATCGAAGTTGTTATCATCTCATGTTGACTAGCAACGGCATCAAAAACGCTGAGCATGTCCATGGTGGTCTCACCGTATCAGCTTCCGCAATCACGAGCGTGTGGCAGGGCTGTGGGATTCTCACCAGTTCAGTTTGCCCAAGTCACGAACGTGCGGCAGGGCCATGGGATTATCATCATCCTCATTATCACCATCGTCATCATCATAATTTATGATTAACGTCACCTTCCCCAGGAAAATCGTTGATTATCCCCGCCAAGCCCCCGAACTTTATTTTCCCGAGTGATTATTATCCAGGGTAGTCGGTTATGCCCGACCTCAAGCTTGACGTTCCCCCCCCCCTCCCTGAGCCGCCCCCCCCCTGACGTGGACCCTCGCTTGGGCCTCAAGGGGATCCCGAGTACTCCGATGGACCTCCCCCTAGGAACGTGTGACGATCTCGGTCGGTCCACAGTGCACGTGCCTACCCAGCATTGTTGATGACATCGTGGGCCGCGAAGGCATACACTCGAGTCATTCATTCTTGCTCCCACTTTCTCGCCCTCTCGAACCCTCATCCCTCGGCTACTCTTGCGCCTTAGTCTTCGCTCCTTCCCACCTCGGCCTGATTGGCATTAGCATTTCTTCGTTTCTCTGTTCCTCCTCCCCCTGACACTTCCCTTCTTCATCTCCCTTTCCTCTCACGTCCTCGTCTCCCGGTTCCGTCAAACATTTGCCCTTTGTAGTCTCTTGGGGTGCATCCAAGCCAGAGCTGTGAAGGGGGATCCAGCCTGGTTCACGAGAAGCCTCCTGGAGGCGCAGCAAACACCCCGGAGCCCTCGAGCCTCGAACCTCGACCCTCCACCTGCTCATCCGCATTCGTATCACTGCTTCTGGTTCGTGTTGTTTTGCATGTCATGTTTCGACGGGCCGTCGGTGTCCTCATGCTGATGTCGCGGGCCCCTGCTCGCGAGTTCGACTGCATAATTATCCTGGGCTTGCCAAGCTAATCGCCAGCTCGTTGCGGTCGCGCACGCTTGTGTAACTGCTCGTTTCTTGATCGCGTGTCCTATCTTTCTGTTTCCTCATTCTCCTCCCAAGCAGTGCGATGTTAATGAAGACGCTGTCCCTGCTGCTCCCCCGATATCCTCCCGCGCCTCCCGCTTCCCCCACGCTCACCTCGACGTGCCACTGCCGATGGTGACGACGCCACTGCTGCCGCTCCCGCACCTCGATATGTCTCGATGCTGTTGCTCAAGACGCTTCGCGCTCACCGCCCCCGCCCGTTCTGGTTCTCGCCAGGCGAGCCGAAAATGGCGGCCATGGGATGCTTGCGTCGCAATTTGTTTCATACCAACGCCATTGTAGTTCAAGCCTTAGGGGCCTTCGCATGCCGCAGGAAGATTTGGTCGTTGGCTTCGATCGTGATATTTCACGAGGTTGCATTCTTTTTGCGACGTCTAATCTCAGGGGGGACGACGTGCCGAGAGCAATCAACGACGGGCCCGGAGGTGAGCCATGTACCCCTTTCTGCGCCCCGTGCTTCTCGATGACATCGCCGATCGTCTGATCGTCGCTACGTCACCAGTGCCACCGGATGCTTGCTCTCGATAGTCTGGCTGCTTATCCATAGCAGGGCGGCAAATATTGCAAGAAGACGGTCCCGGGTTGCCCAAGACGGTTGTTAATGACCGAAGATCACCACCCACCAAACCACCCCAACCCAACCCGAAGGGTCTGATTTACCCTCGATTTCTAGTAGGGGGGGGTCCGGGAACATCGAAAAAACACATGTGGAGCCCATACCCCCCGCCAACCCGAAATTCGGGTCTTCGGGTTGGGTTGGGGTGGTCTGGTAGGTAGTCAGTTAATGACCGAAGAGGCGCAACAAAAGAGTCGCGCAGGTCTGAGGTGGGCCAAACAAGGGCCCAACCAGGGGCCCGAGGGGGGGCCAGATTCTAGGCCTCCTAGATGGGGTCGGAGTAGATGGGGTGGAAGGATCGCGCCGCATCGCCGATGCATCGGCGATACGGCTCGATGTGGAGCCCGTGTTTCCCCGCGCCGACGTCGCCGATGCATCGCCGACGTCGCCAGTGCATGGCCGATGCATCGCCGATGCATCGGCGATGCATCGCCGATGTATCGGCAATGCGGCGGGATCCTCCGACCCCATCTACTCCGACCCCATCTAGGAGGCCTCTACTCTCGGCCCGCGCTGGGGCCAGTTTCGCGCTCGCGTTGGGTCCTACGGTTGGAGCCAGCATCGTGCAAGAATGGATCCTGGAACCAATCCCACACGGCGTAGAAGGTTCCATGCTTGAAATGCAACAAAGGCTGGACACGGTGCGTGTGGAGACCACACACAAATCGATCCCAAGCCAGGCCACATTTCTGACCAATAACCCAGAGCCCGACGTGTGGTCGATGTTGGACCGAGCATGGAGCCCAGCGAGAGTCGGTCCTGAAGGCCAAGAAAGGGTTTCAAAAGGGGCCAGCATGCAGCGACAATCCGTCGACAGGGGTGTCGGGAATGATGTGGCAAACGATCTGGTCTTGGACGCCGTCTTGGAGCCGTCTGGGGCTCCACAGGAGACGGATCACTGGCGGGCGGCGTAATGGCGGAGGTCCCCGCGGGGGAGACACCAAAAGGGGGGGCAGCTACAGCCTTGAGAGAAGCTCTCGAAGGGAAGTCCCACACGGCCCTCGGCGCAGTGGGCTGGCGGACCCGGGAGGCCTGCGCCATTCCGCCGCACCCCGAGAGGGGCGAGGGGGCGGAGGAGGAGGAGGAGGAGGAGGAGGAGGAGGAGGAGGAGGAGGAGGAGGAGGAGGAGGAGGATGGGCGAGAGCGGACCCTGGCGCGCGTCCCGGGTCCCCCGCAGCGATGCCCAGGGGGGACCGTCCGGGGAGCGGGCGGCGGGCGGGCGCGGCGGCGGGGGAGCAGCGGCGCGGAGCCCCCGGGGGGGGGGCATGGGCACGGGCAGGAGGGGCCGCGCTTCTTTGGGGGGGCAGCAGCGCGAGCGTGGGGCGGGCCAGGGGTCAGGAAGCTGACGGAGCCGACGGAGTTCGAGGAAGCAGAAACGCCATAGACGCAAACTTTTGGCGCTCCGCGCGGATGTCTTGGATCTGCGCTGGGCTCCCTCGGCGGCGCCTCCGGCGCTGCCCCTGGCGCGCTCCGTGCGCCAGGGGAGGGAGGCCCAGCGCAGATCCAAGA